GATCTCAGCTCACCGCAACCTCTGCCTTCTGGGTTCAAGCAGTTCTCCTGCCTCAGCCTCCCGAGTAGCTGGGACTACAGGCACGTACCACCATACCCAGCTAATTTTTGTATTTTTAGTGGAGACGGGGGTTTCACCTTGTTGACCAGGATGGTCTCGATCTCTTGGCCTTGTGATCCACTCGCCTCGGCCTCCCAAAGTGCTGGGATTATAGGCGTGAGCCACCATGCCCCGCCTTTATTATTTTTTTAACAGTCTTGCTCTCTTGCCCAGGCTGGATTGTTCTGGCATGATCTTGGCTCACTGCAGCCTCCACCTCCCAGGTTCAAGTGATTCTCCTGCTTTAGCCTCCAGAGTAGCTGGGATTATAGGTGCCTGCCACTTTGCCTGATTAATTTTTGTATTTTTAGTAGAGATGGGGTTTCACTATATTGGCCAGGCTGGTCTCAAACTCCTTACCTTGTGATCCACCCACCTTGGTCTCCCAAAGTGCTGGGATTACAGGCATAAGCCATTGCACCTAGCCTTTTTTTTTGAGACTGAGTCTTGCTCTGTTGCCCATGTTGGAGTGCAGTGGTGCCATCTTGGCTCACTGAAACCTCCGCCTCCCAGGTTCAAGCAATTCTCCTGCCTCAGCTTCCCTAGTAGCTGGGACTACGGGCAAGTGCCCCTATGTCTGGCTAATATTTTGTGTTTATAGTAGAGATGGGGTTTCACTATGTTGGCCTGGCTGGTTTCGAGCTCTTGACCTCAGATGATCCACCTGCCTTGGCCTCCCAAAATGCTGGGATTACAAGCGTGAGCCACTGTGCCTGGCCAACTCAGAGCTTCTAAATGGGTTCTCTACAGCAGTGAGATGGGAGCTATCACACTAAATACAGATGAGATATAATAGTTGTAGCTTGGACAAAGGCAATAGCTAAGGATACTGTGAAGATAGTCAGATTTGCAAATATTTTAAGGATAGAGCTGATACACTGGCAGATTGGATGAGGATTTTGGGAAAAGGGAAGGCATCCGGGATTACTCCAGGTTTTGGGCCCAAGCAACAGGAAGAAGAGAGTTGTTATTCACTGAAATGGGAAAATGACATAACACATAGTAGGACAGATTTGTCGCACAGATATTTACTGAGTATCTGCTCTGTAAAGGTGCAAAAGATATACATTGTAAAAGTAGTCTCCCCTTGGAGATAGTTACATTCTTTTTTAGAGACAGGGTAAGTTTATTAATTTGCCAGGGCTGCATAACAAAGTACTACAGAGCCGGCTTAAACCCCGTGATTTCTTATCTCTGAATTGTAGGTACTGGAAGTCTAGGATGAAGGTGTCAGCAGGGTTGGTTCCTTCTAAGGGTGGTGAGAAAGCATCTGTATCATGCCTCTCCCCTAGCTTTTTTTTTCTTCGTGGTTTGCTGGCAGTCTCTGACGTTCCTTGGCTCATAGATCTCTGCCTTCACATGGCATATGGCATTCTCCCTGTGTTGTAAGCCTATGTCCAAGTTTCCCCTTTTTATAAGGACACTAGTCATATTGGATTAGCTGCTCACTCTACTCCAGTATAATCTCATCTTATTACATCTGCAGTGACCACGTAAGGTTACGTTCTAGGGTATTGGGGATTAGGACTTCAACATAAGAATTTGTGGAGGACATGCCTCTGCAGCATTTGGCCTGTATTGTAGTTAAGAATTGGGGCCGGGCGCGGTGGCTCACGCCTGTAATCCCAGCACTTTGGGAGGCCGAGGCGGGTGGATCACGAGGTCAAGAGATCGAGACCATCCTGGTCAACATGGTGAAACCCCGTCTCTACTAAAAATACAAAAAATTAGCTGGGCATGGTGGTGTGTGCCTGTAATTGCAGCTACTCAGGAGGCTGAGGCAGGAGAATTGCCTGTACCCAGGAGGCGGAGGTTGCAGTGAGCCGAGATCGCGCCATTGCACTCCAGCCTGGGTAACAAGAGCGAAACTCCGTCTCAAAACAAAACAAAAAAAGAATTGGAAACTGAGATTGGCTGATCAATTTTCCATTGCTATTGCAATTATAAATAATAACGGCTACCACAATATATTGAGCTGATATATGTGTCAGGCATTATACTAGGTGCTTTGTATTCCTGACATCATTTCATTCTTTACTCAATAAAACCCTGTTGGAGTAGGTGGTATTATGCTCATTTTTACAGATGAGAAAACTGAGCTTTTTTAGAATGTTATCACCTTGCTGCAAATCACACAAAATTATCATAGAGTCCACACAAGGTACCATCTATAAAAAAATGAAGATTAAGGCTGGGCATGGTGGCTCACACCTTTAATCCCAGCACTTTGGGAGGCCGAGGCAGTTGGATCATGAGGTCAAGAGATCGAGACTATCCTGGATAACATGCTGAAACCCCATCTCAACTAAAAATACAAAAAAATTAGCTGGGCATGGTGGTGCGTACCTGTAATCCCAGCTACTCAGGAGGCTGAGGCAGGAGAATTGCCTGAACCCAGGAGGCGGAGGTTGTGGTGAGCCGAGATCGCGCCATTGCACTCCAGCCTGGGTAAGAAAAGCGAAACTCTGTCTCAAAAAAAAAAAAAAAAAAAGAAGATTATTATTCCTGGGACCATATTGTAAGACCAGAGTTATTCATTGTTTACATTTGCTAATTCTGAATTAGCCTGTCCTTGTAATGTGATTTGATAATGTCACATTATCAAGTGTAGTTCAGACAGTTTCATAATCAAGCATAATGTCTCAAATTATATTCTGTCTTAGCTAAGCATGGTGGCGCTTGCTTGTACTCAGGAGATTGAGGCCAGAGGATCGCTTGAGCCCAGGAGTTTGAGGCTGCAGTGAGCTATAAGCACACAGCTGTACTCCAGCTTAATCAACAGAGTGACATCTGTGTCTTTTTTAAAAAAAAAAAAAGGCAGGCACAGCGGCACATGCCTGTAATCCCAGCACTTTGTTTGGGAGGCCAAGGCAGGTGGATCACTGGAGGTCAGAAGTTTGAGACCAGCCTGGCCAACATAGTGAAACCCTGTCTCCACACAAAAATCAGCTGAGCATGGTGGCACATGCCTGTAATCTCTTTAATCCCAACTACTCCGGAGGCTGAGGCAGGAGAATTGCTTGAGCCGGAGGCTAAGTTTGCAGTGAGTTGAGATGGCATTATTGTACTCCAGCCTGGATGATAGAGTGAGACCCTGTCTCAAAAAAAAAAAAAAAAAAAAAAATTATATCTTCTCTCATGTAGTGTGGTCATTAACAAATTTTAGCAGACTAAAGATCTAGGTTACTCTTAAAAAAAAAAGGAGGTAAAGTTTACATAACATAAAGTTAACCATTTAAAAGTGTATAGTGGGCCAGGTATATCTCATACCTGTAATCCCAGCACTTTGGAAGGCTGAGGTGGATGGATTGTTTGAACTCAGGAATTCCTTAGCATGATGTTTTCAGGGTTCACCTGTGTTCTGTCATGTGTCTATCAATTATGTCTGAATAAGCCATTGTATTGTTGTAACCCAGCAAGTTGTAGAGAAAGCGCCACACACTGAGATTCAATCAGGAGTCCTTTATTGCCAGCGACCAAGAGATGGCTAATGCTTAAAATTCTCAGCTGAAGAAGGGGCTTGATTCCTTTTTTTTTGCCTGCCTCCTTCCCACCGCTTGATTCCTTTTTATACCCTGCTTAAAGGAGGGGAGGAGGAGCCTAGCTGAAGCAAATTTTACAGAAGCAGAACAAGCAAAAGTTAAAAGATAGCAGTTGCAGATGTAGGGGCTTTTCATATTATCAGTAGGCGCATTCCTAAGCTAGGACGGCACAGCTTGACCTTATCAGTAAGTGCATTCCTGAGTGCCCTTGAGTACTCTTGACCTAGCTATATGCACTCAGGGGAGGGATATAGTGGGAAGGGGAAGACGGGCCTGTCCAGCTCTCAGCTAAAATGGAGTCAGTTAGGCTGACACAGGTTAGGTTAGCACAGTATAAATATACCTTCTTTTTTCTTTTTTTGAGACCAAGTCTCACTCTGTTGCCCAGGCTGGAGTGCAGTGGCATGATCTCAGCTCACTGCAACCTCTGTCTCCTGGGTTCAAGGGATTCGCCTGCCTCAGCCTCCCCAGTAGCTGGGACTATAGGCATGAGCCACCACGCCCGGCTAATTTTTGTATTTTTAGTAGAGATGCCGTTTTATCATGTTGGCCAGGCCTGTCTCGAATTTCTGACCTCAGGTGATCTGCCTGCCTCAGCCTCCCAAAGTGCTGGGATTACAGGTGTGAGCCACTGCGCCTGGCCTGATATACCATATTTTACTTAGACCATGTTTACTTATCAATTAATGGACAGTGGGTTGTTTTCACATGTTGGTGATTGTAAATAGTGCTGCTGTGAACATTCATGTACAAGCTTTGGTTTGAGTAGCTGTTTCAAACAAGACAGCTATCGGGGTCAGGTATGTACTTGCTGGGACATATGGTAATTCTATGTTTAACTTTATGAGGAACCTAGTTCCTCTTGAATTGAGCTAAATGACCCTTGCTGTTATTATTTATCAGAGGGTTTCCATGTAGTGTTGCTTTATGTTGTAATATCAGCTTTGGTAACTTGGATTCGCTGTAAATAGCAAGTGGAGTTAGGTTTGTTTGTATTCTTCTCATATTTTAAAACAGATGATGCTTTCAGAATGTGATAAACATTTATTGAGCTGTTAATATGCTTTAGGCAGTGTTGAGTGTCCATTTAATACAGCAAAGGCTGAGAGAGGAAAATTCTATTATTGAGTTCATTTTATAGCTGGTGAAATGGGTTAAGAGTACGTACCTTGCTGGGGTACAAAGTGGCAGAAGTAATACTTACTTCAGAGCCCATGCTTTTAACCACTTCCTCCCAGCCACGATTCTCTTGGTTAAAACTGTTAAGTCCGATTTGCCTCGTCTTCTCTTCTGTGACATCTGTGTCATAAAGGAGTCTACTAAAGGAGGTCTCAGGTGAACATGGTGTGCTCATTTCAGGTTCCATGCCTCTGCAGCGGTGCCTCATGTTTGCTGTGTAGTTGCTGTCCTAACAGTAAGAATTCCACGGTGACTCGCCTCATTTATGCTTTCATTCTTATCTTGAGCACTGCTGTATCCTATATCATGCAGAGAAGAGAGATGGAACCTCACCTGAAGAAGGTAAGAAGCAACAATGCACTTGATGTGTTGGTTATTTTATTTTTATATTTTGCAAAATGCTAGTTTTTTTATTTCTTCATAATCACGTTCAATGTAATTTGGAGACTTTTTACTTATATAGGGATGTGGTCAAAACACAGAAATATGAGGACATTAGTCCTTTTCCAGAAATACGCAATGAACATCTTTAGGCTGTAGTCTAACAACTAAGAGAAAATATTAAAAGAGTGGCTCCAAAACATTTTCTTTCCTTATGTGTTAAGATCGAAGCATCTAAACTGGACTAGTTCTTCACCTTTGGAAGGAGTCACTCGTGGCTGGAAAATCTCATGGGAAAATGGCAGACAGCCTCTTCAGCATAAAAGAGCTAAGAAGAGAGAGCATTTTTATTTTTAAAATGCAGTTTGTTTATACTGTTTGGTAACAAGATTGTAAATGAATTGGAAGGCGAAGAGAAAAATTCCATAATCAGTCTTGTAGTTGTTGAAGTAATTTTCTAAATCCAGTCTTTCCTGTGCTGGGGTAGAATCTCTCTAAATGTAGATATTCTCATAGCATTGAAATTGCTTTTTTCCAGATTCCTGGATTTTGTGAAGGGGGATTTAAAATCCATGAGGCTGATAGAAATGTGGATAAAGACTGTGATGTGCTGGTTGGTTATAAAGCTGTGTATCGGATCGGCTTTGCCATGGCCATCTTTTTCTTTGTCTTTTCTCTGCTGATGATAAAAGTGAAAACAAGTAAAGATCCTCGAGCAGCAGTACACAATGGGTATGTTAGATTTATGATTAACTTGTTATATTATGATGTGGCTCTTCCTTCCCTTCAGCAGTTAATGTTGCCGTTCTGATGGAATCAATGGAATATGTAAATGAATGGCCCAGGTGTATTTCTGGTTTGTTACACCTGTGAAATTTTTTTAATGTCATTTTTAATTAGATCCCTGTAACATGGAGGGGATAGGGAGTCTTGTCTTTTTATTTATTTTTTTCTTTTTGTGACTGAGTTTCGCTCTAGTTGCCCAGGCTAGAGTGGAATGGCGAGCTCTTGGCTCACTGCAACCTCTGCTTCCTGGGTTCAAGCGATTCTCCCGCCTCAGCCTCCCGAGTTGCTGGGATTACAGGGATATGCCATCACGCCTGGCTAATTTTTGTATTTTTAGTAGTGGCTTGGTTTCTCCATGTTGGTCAGGCTGGTTTCAAACTTCCAACCTCAGCCTCCCATAGTGCTGGGATTAATAGGCGTGAACCACCACGCCTGGCCCAGATTTTAATTTTCAATTAAAGACTGAATGGAGTTTTATAAACTTAGTGTTTATTACAATTCCCTTTTTACACATGCAGTAACTGAATTTCAGAAAGGTTAAATAAATTGCCTGAGATCTGTTAACCAATTGGAGGTTGGAGCTAGGATTGACACTTAGGTCTGTTCAGCCCCAAAGCTTGGTTCTTTCCACTCTGTCATACGAGGCAGTCATTAAAGATCATGAACTGAAAATCAGGTGCCAGTGATGAGCTGGGTCATTGTGGACAAGATAATCTGTGCCCTGTGTTGCAAACAAAAGATTCATGATCACTTTTCATCCAGACCTTATAGTTAATGGCTCTGTGGGTAGCTAATACTGTTATTTTAGAACTCTCAGAATGTTAGAAAAATGCCTACCTTTAAGTGCTAAAAGTAGGGAAGCTCTAAATTTTTATTTTTTTTCTGATTATAAATATGAATGATTTATTCTCTGTGCTAATATCGTCCTTTAATTTTATGAAATATTAAATGAATTAGCCTCATGTCAGATGAAGAAAATAGTTCAGACAATCATGTTGGGGAAAAAGCGATTATTTTTGCATTTCAGAAATGAATTTTTCTCAGTATAAAGGTGAAACTTAACATTTCATAAATGCATTTTTATATTTTAATAGGTTTTGGTTCTTCAAAATTGCTGCCCTTATTGGAATCATGGTTGGCTCTTTCTACATCCCTGGGGGCTATTTCAGCTCAGGTAGGGTTCACCATGGAGGGGGTTAATTTTAAGCTATATAAACTCTATAGATAATTGAGTTAAAGCTACATTTTAGGCCAGGCGCACTGACTCACACCTGTAATCTCAGCACTTTGGGAGGCCAAGGTGGGTGGATCACCTGAGGTCAGGAGTTTGAGACCATCCTGGCCAATGTGGTGAAACCCTATCTCTACTAAAAATACAAAATTAGCTAGGCATGGTGGCGCATGCCCATAATTCCAGGTAATCAGGAGACTGAGGCAGCAAAATTGCTTGAACCTGGGAGGCGGAGGTTGCAGTGAGCCAAGATCATGCCAATGCGCTCCAGCCTGGGTGACAGATCAGGATTCTGTTTCAAAAAAACGAAGTCACATTTTAATTATGTTTTTGCAGAACTGGCAATTAAATGAGATGGTGTCCAACTAATATGACTTGGTACCTGCAACTCAATGTATATATTTTTTTAGATGGACTCTTGCTCTGTCACCCAGGCTGGAGCACACTGGCATGATCTTAGATCACTTCAACCTCTGCCTCAGCCGCTCAAGTAGCTGGGATTACAGGCACCTGCCGCTATGTCTGGCTAATTTTTGTATTTTTAGTAGAGATGGGTTTCACCATCTTGGCCAGGCTTGTCTTGAACTCCTGACCTTGTGATCCACCTGCCTTGGCCTCCGAAAGTGCTGGGATTACAGGTGGGAGCCACTATACCCCGCCGCAACTCAGTATGTGGATTTAAAGTCAGGAGGCATTCACTGCACCTCTCAGGTTTTCTGGACCCATATATTGCCAATATCTTAATTGTTTGTGTTCTCACTTGTTGCAATGCAAAGTTAATTGGAGAGCCTATCAAAATAACGGCTTACAACTCTTATGCTCTCCTATCTCTGTCTTAACCTACTTCCTTAGCTTGGCATCAGGTAACATCTTTAGATTTCTTCTGTGATTTTCCCACCTCAAAAAGAAAAGACAGTATCATTTGGAACTCAGGTTGTAGGCTCCCCTTGGCACAAGCTAAAACATGTTTTAAAAGGTCTGAAACCCAGTAGAATGTTTTTAAGAGAATGCCTTTTAGTTTGGAATCTTGCTATACTGCTGGAGACAGAATGTCTTTACCACCTCTGTCTTGTTTTAATTGAAATCTGTTCAGAATGTTGGACCTTCTGAAATGTTACTCTATGGTAGAGAATAACTTTGCTCTCTTGGTTCTTGTAGCCTGGTTTTTCGTTGGCATGATAGGGGCCGCTGCCTTCATCCTTATTCAGCTGGTGCTATTGGTAGACTTTGCTCATTCTTGGAATGAATCATGGGTAAATCGAATGGAAGAAGGAAACCCAAGGTTGTGGTATGCTGGTAGGTATCTCTACTCCCTATGTTAGCCATACTGCTACATTAAGGAGGGTGTACAGTGAAAATGATCGTCACAGTCCCTGCAACTAGAGTCCTCAGCAACAGAAGGCCAAGGTGGGAGAATGGCTTAAAACTAGGAGTTCAAGTCCAGACTAGGCAGCATATTGAGACTCCATCTTTACATTAAAAAAAAAAAATTAAGGCCAGGCGCGGTGGCTCATGCCTGTAATCCCAGCACTTTGGGAGGCCGAGGCGGGTGGATCACGAGGTCAAGAGATCGAGAACATCCTGGTCAACATGGTGAAACCCCGTCTCTACTAAAAATACAAAAAATTAGCTGGGCATGGTGGCGCGTGCCTGTAATCCCAGCTAGGTTGCGGTGAGCCGAGATCGCACCATTGCACTCCAGCCTGGGTAAGAGCGAAACTCCATCTCAAAAAAAAAAAAAAACTATTAGCCGGGCATGATGGCATAGAGCTATAGTCCTAGCTGCTCGGCAGGCTAAGGCAGGAGAATCACTGGAACCCAGGAGTTCAGGACTGCAGTAAGCTGTCATGCCACTATACTCCAGCCTGGGAGATGCTGTCTCTAAAAATATTAATAAAAATAAATAAAAGGAAAAATATCTATAATTTCCTGAATTTGGCTCTGAGTTATATGCATTACTGAAATAAAGTGGCACAGATAATATCAACTGTTGGATTTCCCCAGTTTATTTGAGAGTCATATATTTAGTGACTTACTTCTGGTTTTGATAATCTTGTTTCCATGGAGAGGAAACTCAGATGGGTTCAACATATGGGGCAGTTGCCCACCAACTTTAGGCAGATAGGAGTAAGTAGTCTGATGGCCTTATTCAGAAAGGGACCCCACACCTGCTATTAAAAGCTTTCTGGTGGGAAAGGAGCACTTACAATTTCTAGGCTGAGAATAGGAGTTAACAGTAGCTTGTGAATATATTTTGGCTATGGTAGAGCACTAACTACCTAATAATATATACTTGCACACATTTCTGATTATTTCCTTTGGACAAATTCCCAGAAAGGGAAAAGTCAAAGTGTATGAATATTTTAAAATACTTTCAGTACATATTATCAAGTTGCCCAGTTTTGTTTTCATTTTATTTATTTAGTTTACTTTAAAAAATATTTACATGTATTTTAAAAAATACTATGTTTACCATAAAAACAAATGATAGAACTTTTTAACTTTATAAAGAATAAAACATACAAATCTTCACCTATCTACAGCCCATTTTCCTTTCCAGATGTAGCCACTCTTGTGGACCTTTATGTATTTATGCATTCGTCTTGCTTTTGTATTTAAATGTAAACAAGATTGTACTGTATATTGTTCCATCACTCGCTCTTTTCACTTCCTACATGATGAATATCCTCCCTACCAGTGAATGTAGGTATGTCTTACTCATTTAACCTGCATTCAAGCTCCTGACAGGGACTCTGCTGTCAGCTGCATGGTATTCCATTCCATACAATTCCATGGCATTCCGTGGCAGAGTATATTGTAATTCATTTAACCTTTGCCCTGTTGTTGGTCATTTAAATTGTTTGTAATGACTATTTTATTTTTACCTATTTCTTTCTTTTTTTTCCCCCAAAATTGGGTCTCACTCTGTCACCTAGGCTGGAGTGTAGTGGCACAATCATGGCTCCCTGCAACCTCTGCCTTCCTGACTCAAGCGATCCTTCCACCTTAGCCTCCCAAGTAGCTGGGGCTATGGGTGCACACCATCACACCCACATTACCACACCCGGCTAACTTTTGTGTTTTTTTTTTTTTCTTTTTACCACTCCGCTGCCCTCCCCTTCACTTTTGTGTTTTTTTTTTTGTAGAGACAAGGTTTCTCCGTGTTGCTGGAACTCCTGGACTCAATCGATCCACCTGCCTTGCCATCCCAAAATGTTGGGATTACAGGCATGAGCCGCCACATCTGGCTGTTATTTTCTTTTTCTTTCTTTTTTTTTTTTTTTTTTGAGATGTAGTTTTGCTCTTGTTACCCAGGCTGGAGTGCGATGGCGTGATGTCGGCTCACCGCAACCTCCGCCTCCTGGGTTCATGCAATTCTCCTGCCTCAGCCTCCTGAGTAGCTGGGATTACAGGAGTGTGCCACCAAGCCCAGCTAATTTTTTGTATTTTTAGTAGAGTTTCACCATGTTGACCAGGATGGTCTCAATCTCTTGACCTTGTGATCCACCCACCTCGGCCTCCCAAAGTGCTGGGATTACAGGCGTGAGCCACCGCGACTGGTCCTGTTATTTTCTTTAATTCATTTGGATCATACAACTCTAGAAGAATTTAATGATTTGCAAATCGGTCATACTTTGTAGTAACTAAGTGTAGAAAAATCTTGTATATTCAGATGGGAAAATATTAAGAAGTGTGCGAGTAACTTAATGTACATCATTTAATTTTAGACATGTAAAATTCATTGAAGTAGGTAAAAACTAGTTTTCTTACATCTGGGCTTTGACTTGAATACAAATTAACTGAGCTTACCATTCCTGCAGTTGATCTGAGTGTATTATATGTGCTGTTTCGTGTTTTCTGATTTTCAGAGCTATACAACCAAATTGTTTTGTTTGTTGTTTGAGACAGGGTTTTGTTACGTTGTTCAGGCTGGAGTGCAGTGGCACCATCTCGGCTCACTGTAACCTCTATGTTCTGGGCTCAAGCAGTCCCCCTGCCTCAGCTTCCTAAGTTGCTGAGACCACAGGCACATGCCACCATGCCTGGCTAATTTTTGCATTTTTTGTAGAGATAGGGTTTTACCATGTTGCCTGGGCTGGTCTGGAACTCAGAGGCTCAAGCAATCCATCCACCTCAGCCTCCGAAAGTGCTGGGATTATAGACGTGAGCCACCATGCTCAGCCAACACAGCTAGTGAATGGAAAGGACCATGACTTTAGATAATGAAAAATAGCAAATGAGCCACTTTCCCAGTTCAGGGATGTACTCATTGTGATGGGAAATGGGTTTAGATAGCCAGTGGCTGCAGAGGGAAAAACTGGCATGGAAAGATACCTGTGTGTCTATCCTGTTTTCCTCTAGCACCATCCTGGTGTGGAGCTTGCTGTGAACTGGGTCATTTTGAGGGTATAGGAATCATCTAGGTTCCTAAGAAAAGCTTGCAATACATAGTAGTTAACATATAGTTAGCAGTTCCATCTAGCTAGAATGATCAAACATCTGGTAATTCAACCCATGAAATCATATTAGGTAATTCAGGAAGTGAATTCAGTTGCTTGGTGGATTTTGGAATTTAACATCAAGTCAATTGAATACAACGTTGATGCTTTAACTCTGAGGTCTCTGTAATTTTACTGTGAATTTCCCCAGAAAAGTGAAATAATGTCTCCTCATTTTTATATGGAGTGGAAGAAAATTGGTCTTCACTGTAAGTTTGTTATAGTTGCGGGCATTCACATTGGTTTCCCTTTCTCCAGCTTTACTGTCTTTCACAAGCGCCTTTTATATCCTGTCAATCATCTGTGTCGGGCTCCTCTATACGTACTACACCAAACCAGATGGCTGCACAGAAAACAAGTTCTTCATCAGTATTAACCTGATCCTTTGTGTTGTGGTTTCTATTATATCAATCCACCCAAAAATTCAGGTATGATTGTTCACTGCTTCTTCCTCTGTGAAAGGTTTTTAATTAGTTCTCAGTTTAAAATCTAGGTAACCTTTCTTACGAATTTATGTCTAAATTTATCCACTCGAACATTTTCTATATTATATTCTCATAATGATAACTTAAGTATACAGTTTACCATTTCATGCCTATATCATAATTAAATGAATTCGCTATCATTAAAAAAAACCTAGATAACTTGAGAATTTATAGCTCTTATAAAGTGTTTAAGCCATGGCAATGATTCTTATGAGTCATTAGCTAGGATATTTTAGGGGAATTAAACTGTGAAAAATCACTGATTTTTAACATTTAACAAAACTCATGCTCTTGAGTTTTAAATAACATAGTTTAGGCTAAATGTGGTGGCTCAAATTTATAATCCCAGCACTTAGGGAGACCAAGGCGGGGGAATCACTTGAGGTCAGGAGTTTGAGAACAGCCTGACCAACATGGTGCATGACTGTAATCCCAGCTACTTGGAAGGCTGAGTCAGGAGACTTGCTTGAACCCTGAAGGCAGAGGTTGCAGTGACCTGAAATAGCACCATAGCACTCCAGCCTGGGCAATAAGAACAAAACTCTGTCTCAAAAAAAGGAAGCAAACCATAATTTTAAAAAATTCATGGATTTTAGATATGAAATATGAAAATTGTATAGAAATCACCTTTCTTTTTAAAAGTGAGAAAACAGAAATCTCAAAGAAGTGATAGGTCTGACCCAGCTACTAATTAGTTGCAAAGCTAATCTTAGATCTTTGTACTACACCAAGGGATTAGAAAATCAAAGCCTTGTGTGATAAACAGGAATTTCTAGGATTACGAAATGCCTTGAGAACCAGTAGTACTTGCGTCGCCTTTCTTGGTTCTTCAGCAGGCTGACTGAACTGAAAGGTTGCTTGTCATCTCTCGACTCCCAAGCAGAATCCAAAAGTTCTCAGTTACTGATAGTTGAGGGAATCCCAGAGAAGTATGCTGCATTTTGGAAAGTCAACCCTTGGCAATCCCTGTGGCACTGTTTTCCTTTTGATTCCATAGGAACACCAGCCTCGCTCTGGCCTCTTGCAGTCCTCCATCATCACCCTCTACACTATGTACCTCACTTGGTCAGCCATGTCCAATGAACCTGGTAAGGAAATATCAATAGCACAATCAGTTGATAACAAGAAAGTTGGAAATTAGCCCTTACATAGGTGGTATAAAAACTAGAGTTAGGGCAAATGTGAAACAAACAAAACTTAAATGTACAGTGTTCACTGTAGATATGTAGGTATTTACCTTTTACATTTTAGTTCCCACATCTGTTCATAGCTATTTATAACTGATAGCCTAAAGGGTCACAGTCCTTTAGATGATCTAAGCTTTACCTAACCTAGGCTGAGTCAGACTAGTTAAGAGCTCTGGTCAAGGGCACCCTCGTTTTGGCCCTTTGTTTTGACTGAATTTTAGTTTGATGTCATGGTATCTGGAAGAAACAGCTGTAGGAAGTCTTCTGTAGTTGTTATAGGCTTGTTTCTCAGCAGAATATTCTGTGGGCTTCTTTTAAAGGAAAACAACTAATGCAGACCGCCCCTCTCCCAGTGATAACTTTTTTGTTCTTAAGTGACTGTGTGAAAAAATAGAAATAAACTTCTGTGCTTAAACCCTTGGCACTATAGAATTGAAAAGATTTGTCAGTTAAACTATAAAACCAATAAAATCAAGAATGACGTTTATGAAATTTGACAGATTCTGTTGTTTCTTTTCTTTTTTTCCTAATTCTTAGTCATTGATTGTGACCAAATATGTTACTGACTTTTAAGTTTCAGATTTTTTTAAGTAAAGAATTCCCATGTTTCACATCATGACTTAATGATATGTAAGGAACTCCTCAGATCCTTTCTTAAAACAAGATGAATTGTAACCAAGGATAATAAAAAATTTCTCCTTTTCAGATCGTTCCTGCAACCCCAGCCTGATGAGCTTTATTACACGCATAACTGCACCAACCCTGGCTCCTGGAAATTCAACTGCTGTGATCCCTACCCCTATTCCACCATCAAAGAGTGGGTCTTTACTGGATTCAGATAATGTTGTTGGACTGTTTGTCTTTGTTTGCTGCCTTGTGTATTCTAGGTAAGTTAAAAGGTACCTAGAACAAGATTTTCATGGAGGTTGTTTATAAAGTGAAGCAGCTATTCTGCTTTCAAAAAGCAGTATGAGGAATTAACAAACTTTACTCCCTTTACTTGCTTCAGTTACAGAGCTGTGTACATATATTTTTTTGAGACAGTGTCTTGCTTTGTCACTTAGGCTGGAGTACAGTGGCACAATCTCAGCTCACTGCAATCTCCACCTCCTGGATTCAAGTGATTCTTCTGCCTCAGGTTCCTGAGTAGCTGGGGTTACAGGCACACGCCACTAGGCGTGGCTAATTTTTGTATTTTTAGTAGAGATGGGGTTTCACCATGTGGGCTAGATGGGTCTCAAACTCCTGACCTCAGGTGATTCTCCCACCTTGGCCTCCCAAAGTGCTGGGATTACAGGTGTGAGCCATCGTGCCTGGTCTAGTATACAAGTCTTAAACCTCTTTTGTTTTTAAGCATTTTATTCTAAATAAAATTCTAAGTATTTTATTCTTTTTGATGGTATTATACATGAATATATGTTTTCTTAGCTTAACTTTTGGTTTATTTATTGCTACTGTATAAAAGTATGATTGGTGACCAGGCATGGTGGCTCATGCCTGTAATCCCAGCACTTTGGGAGGATCATTGAGTCCAGGAGTTTGAAACCAGCCAAAGCAACATAATAAGACCTTGTCCAGGTGTGGTGGTACACATCTGTAGTCCCAGCTACTTGAGAGGCTGAGGTAGGAGGATTAATTGAGCCCAGGAGTTAGAGGCTGCAGTGAGCTGTGATGGCACTATTACAATCCACCTGGGTGACAGAGTGAGACCCCATCTCAAAAAGAAAGAAATACAATTGATTTTTTTTTTAAGAGATTAAGTCTTGCTCTATCACCTAAGCTGGAATGCAGTGGTATGATCATAGCTCACTACAGCCTTAAGCTCCTGGTTTCAAATGACCCTCCCTCCTCAGCCTCCTGAGTAGCTGAAACAACAGGCACACCACCATGCCCAGCTAATTTTTAATTTTTTAAGAAACAGTCTTGCTGTTTTTTAGAAACAGCACTGGCCAATCTCGAGCTCCTGTCCTCTAGTGATCCTCTCACCTCAGCCTCTCAAGTAGTTGGGATTACAGGCATGAGCCACCACACCCAGTCCTGATTTCTGTATATTGATCTTGTATCCTGCAACTTTGCTGAACTTACTTATTGGTTCTAATAGTTTGCATGTGTATGTATTCCACAGGATTTCTATATACAAGAAGTCATCTACAGATAGAGGTAGTTTTACTTCTTTTCTAATCTGGATATCTCTTTTTCTTGCTCTGGCTAGAACTTTACTACATTGTTGGATAGAAATGGTGAGAGTAGGATCCTTGTCTTGTTCCTAATCTCAGGGGAAAGGTTTTTAAAAACCTTTTGGCCAGGTGCAGTGGCTCACGCCTATAATCCCAGCACTTTGGGAGGCTGAGGCAGGTGGATCACAACGTCAAGAGATCGAGACCATCCTGGTCAACAAGGTGAAACCCGGTCTCTACTAAAAAGACAAAAATTAGCTGGGCATGGTGGTGCGCGCCTGTAGTCCCAGCTACTCGGGAGGCTGAGACAGGAGAATTGCTTGAACCCCGGAGGCAGAGGTTGCGGTGAGCCGAGATCGTGCCATCGCACTCCAGTCTGGGTAACAACAGTGAAACTCCATCTCAAAAGAAAACCTTCTTTCACTGTTAAGTATGATGTAGGCTCTCAGTTTTTCATTTATTTATTTTGTCAGCCTGAGGAAGTTCTACTTTGACTGTTTTTGTTTTTATCATGGAATGGTATTGGATTTTGTCAGATATTTTTTCTCTGTCTATTGAAACGATTGTGTACTTTTTCTTCTTTAATTGTATTTATGCTTTTATTCAGTCATTTAACTTTTAGTGAGTTTCTGTAGTGCTAGAAATATATAGACTAAGATCATTGTTAAGGCGTTCTTTGAATAGCAGGGAAGACGGGCGTGGTAAGTGCAGTGTCAGAAGGAAGCCAAGAAGCTGTGGGAAGTTGGAGGAGTGTCTCGTAACCTAGCCTAGTGAGGGGTGATGTCAGGGAAGGCCTTCCAGAGGACGTGACAGCGAGTTGGAGAAGTGTAGGATGAGTAAGTTAGCTGGAAGGAGGTTGGCGTGTGGTACATTCCAATCATAGAAGCGGCACTTTTGAAGTCACGGAAACAGACACTGAGAACATGGTGTGTTTTGTGAAATTCCTAAGCAGTTAAGCCACCACGTCAAGTAGTAACTGGTGAGAGTGCCATCGGTCTTATGCTGACAGACAACAGTTCAGAACTTTAAGCAGGATCTTCAGAAAGCTTTCAGTCTCCAAAGTAGGAGCAGCTCAGCAATAAGTGTCTTGTATAATGGCCAGTGACAGCAGTTCTTCTTCATGGCCCTTTTCTGATTTGTCTTTGTGATCATTTTCTAGCATCCGCACTTCCAGTAATAGTCAAGTAGACAAGCTGACCCTGTCAGGGAGTGATAGCGTGATCCTTGGTGATACAACTACCAATGGTGCCAATGATGAAGATGATGGACAGCCTCGGCGGGCTGTGGACAATGAGAAAGAGGGAGTGCAGTATAGCTACTTCTTCTTCCACTTGATGCTCTGCTTGGCTTCCTTGTACATCATGATGACCCTGACTGGCTGGTACAGGTAGGAGGCACAGACAAAACTGACTAAAGAGCACTAAAACTCTTGGTGGCCTATAAAATCGCATCCTTTGTCCTGACCTCAGAACCGTTGCACTTACTCACATAATGAATTACCTTGGGTTAAATATTCTTGACTTTATCTCCTCTAGCATTTAAAACCCATTGGAATTCTTTGCAGTGCAGATCACTAGGAGCTCTTACAGAGCTGAGTTAATTGAGAGAGAAAATCATGACAAAGCAATCTGACCCATCTTCCTTCACTAATTTTCTGTGTATAGAGATGGCCATGTCAGACCATTCTGGTTCAAGTAATAATGTACTAAGGAAGGAAAGTTTCAGGAAGGCTATCTCAATCTAGACTTTTGCCAATAACTAGGAACATCTAAAGAACTTTCTCCTGATAGTCGGGGTCTTTCATGCTGGCAAGAAGAAAAGTCATTTGAGAGGCAGAGTCGATGAGTTCTTTAGTTCTTGGTCATAAACACTGAAAATAGCAGCTTCCTCCAGTCTTCTCTACAAACCTACTGGAGGGTAGTACCAGCCAAGTTTCACTGGAGAATTTCTTGGCCTTGGCTAGGGGCGCTGCAGGAGGCTGATAGAAGTCAGGTAGACCAGGCTTTTCTACCTGACTCTCTCTTGTTTTCTTAGCCCTGATGCAAAGTTTCAGAGCATGACCAGCAAGTGGCCGGCTGTATGGGTCAAGATCAGCACCAGCTGGGTCTGCCTCCTGCTTTACGTCTGGACCCTTGTGGCTCCACTTGTCCTCACCAATCGGGACTTTAGCTGAACGAACTTCTGAGTGCCAAGGACACCACTGCAACTCACAAAGGTCTCCTTCACTGAAAACTCACTTACCTTTTAAGTTTGCTTCAACTAAAATATTAAGTGAATGCTTTGCAAATTTGACTGTATCCAGATTTATATCAGAAGGCAAGATTGAAAAATGCTTGATGCAGAATCTATACTTCTCATTTATCTGTACATTATGTTTACTTCTAAGGATATAGCACAAAGAAAAGTTTTTTGTTTAAAGTGAACTACAGCTGTGCTGTGAAGAGAGTTCTTTATAAAGACTGTAGGTTCTTACAATTTTGGTTTAAAGTGTAAGATAGGAAAATGTTGGATATTTGAGGCCATGCTTAATATATTTCTATTGCAGTATCCTTTAAAAGCAAAAAAAAAAAAAAAAAATGCATTTATATGACAGTTTTCCTCTGTGAAAGTCTTTACTTATATGATACAAGTACTCTGTTTTGTGTTTAAATTCTTTGGAGGGGTAGCATCAAAGTTCTTGGGGAAGGATTGTATATATAGGTCCCTTCCCTAGAAGAATGGTTGCTGATACGGCTACTGCTTCTACATCTTGAGGGTTTTTTTTTTTTTAATTAAGATGGGGTTTCACCATGTTGGTCAGGCTGGTCTTGAACTCCCGACCTCAGGTGATCCGCCCACCTTGGCCTCCAAAGTGCTTGGATTACAGGTGTGAGCCACTGCGCCCGGCCGAGTTTTTTAATTTACTTTTTTTACACTGTAGCATTGATGCTGCTTGATTCAAGTCTGGTCCTTTGCCAGATGTGTTAATTTCAATAAATGCTTTGTGAGTTTGATTAAAATGAAGATTCACTTGGGAAAACACTGCAACTTTAGTCTGTCATTATCTTGTTATGAGTATGTAAGAGTAAAATGCATGTGAATTTATTATATTTGCACTATAAAGGTATTTGATTAAAAGAGAAAGACTTTTAAGATTTTAAGGCCCTTTCTTCCAACAGCTTTTGTGAGTTAGCCATTCTTTATTTTCTGGATGTCAGGTTTTATCAGCTTCTAGTCAGGATGCTCCTATTCCTTCTAAAATTACAGTCTAGTGTGTGAGCAAAGTCTTGAATTTACTAAAAAGTTGTCCTAAATATCTCCTCTAAGTAAGATATTTGGTAAATGAGAGACAGGGAAGGCATTGTCAAGAAATATTTTCATGAGAGGTGGTGTGCAAAAAGGTAGAATAAAAGAGTTCTTTCAACAAAGATTTACTGTCTGTTCTGTATCAGGCCCTGTAGGCTTTGGGGTACAACATTAAATGTGATAGAGGCCCTGCCATCTTGGACTTTAATAGTTTAGAGAAGAGTGCAAATGAGCTGACGGATTGTTGTAATACGGTGAATTTGTGCTGTGATTTAGGAATTAGAGTGAACTCAGAGGAGAGGTGTTTGGTGTCGTGGTAGGCTTTCTGGAGAAAGTGACGTTTAAACCAAGAACTGTTAGAAATTAGCGAAGAGAGAAATGGGAAGGTGAGATGACATTGTAGAGTAGATAAAACTGCATGGTAAAGGCAGGGGAGATGGGGGAAACAAAGTTCAGTAAAGCTGGAATGGGGAAATGTAGACAGGGACTGAGTTATAAAGGGCTTTATAAACCTTGGGAAAGAGTTTGGACCTTATGTTGAGGGCAGCTGAAAACACTGATAGTGTCATGAACAAATTTTATCTTCAGTTACTTGGGCTGATATATAGAGAATGGACTTTGAGAGATGAGACCAGGAGCAGTCTATATGAGATGCGAAATAGAGAAGTGGAATTGTAGGGACGGGAAGAAATTGACAGGTGAGGGCTACTTAGCAATTAGAATTTTAACACTGGCAGTTATGAATAATATGAGGGAGAGGTAGATTTTTGAGTGATTCTGGTTTCACCATCTGGGTGGATAGCAGTTCCATTTATTCAGGTGGCAGATATAGGTGGTCTCTTGGGTAACGAGCAAAACTCCATCTCAAAAAAAAAGAAAAAGAATGGTTAAGAGGCTTGGGAGTCTCAATATTTAGGTTTGCATCCCAGCTTTGCCATTTTCTGGCTATGAAACTGGTCAGCTAATATTTGTTGAGTACATACTATGCTTTATGATCTTGGGCAGCTGAGCCTCAGTGTTGGTGCCTAGTATGTAAGACTGTTCAAAGAATAAAGTTATCTTGCAAAGTGTAATTTTAGCACTGGCAGTAGCTGCTAATCTCATTATGGGCTAAAATAAAACAATATTCAAAGGTGAGAGACGTTTAGCCAGAATCTGTTGGAGGCTGGATTTCACATGTTGCAGAATTAAACACAGGAACACAGAGGGGACAGGCTCAGTTGGGGTGGAGGTAGTGGGTAGGGAAGCAGGACCTGATATCAATTATTGGAATAATTGTCTTTTAAACCAGTGGTTTATGTCAGGGTATAGCATTGCAAGGGATTTGAGGGACAGATGGGGAAATGTAGCCCCTTATTTTGCCAGTGTAAAGCAGATACCCCACTTTTCATTACAGTAGGGGAGTCAGCTTAAGAGCTTTAAAGGTCCTAAACTTCAAAAACATTACAGTGCCCATCCTCCGCCTTAATGTAATTCAAAATGCAAATGATACTAAATGTAAAATAAATGCAACTAAGTCCAATAAAGTTTTTATTTTTTTCTCGTGATGATAACTTTGATATTAATTTGAAGTAACAAACATTCTTTAAAAGTTGGGAGGCAGTGTCCCTGCTTTGCTTGGTCCTACCCTAAGAATTAGTGAAGTCGGCTTGTTAGTAGGAAACCCAGTAGTTTAATGAAGACTCAAGTGAATTATACACAAGCATAAGTAAGCCAGCATTTTGAGTAAGGTCAGGATCATTATTTATTTAAAGCAGGGGAGTATTTTGAGTCATCAGATCTCAGGGGGGCATCTCATTCCAGATGAGTACCTTGGTGTTTCATCACTATGAAAAGGCTTGTCTAGCCTTGGAGAATGCAGGTTAGAATCCTGGCTTTCAGGTCAGGGACATGCTGTAGGAACTCATCAAAGGCAACAGCAGTGGCTGCCGCTTTTACCTAGTTAGAGCTGGGAGAAAGCTGCTAGGTCCATGCCGGACTCCTTTATTTTCTAAATTGGTCTTGCAAGGTACCTGGTTGGGAAGTGAAACTTTGTCTTGATAATCAGAGAGACAGACTGCCAAAGAGTAGCCGTGGAGCTGGTTCTCAGTATAGAGGTTTTGTTTTTTTCTTTTTGGCTAGTCAAGTGAGGAATGGAGAAGGAACAAAGAAATCTGTAACTGGTTCTTTTTTTTTTTTCTTTTTTTTCCAAGACAGAGTTTTGTTCTTGTCACCCAGGCTGGAGTGCAGTGGCACCATCTTGGCTCACTGCAACCTCCCAGGTTTAAGCAATTCTCCTGCCTCAGCCTCCCAGGTAGCTGGGACTACAAGCACACACCACCATACCCAGCTAATTTTTGTATTGTTAGTAGAATGGGGATTTCACCTTGTTGGCCAGGCTGGTCTCGCACTCCTGGTCTCAGGTGATCCACCCACCTCGGCCTCCCAAAGTGCTGGGATTATAGGCATGAACCACTGCATCTAGCTGTTTTCTTTTTACGCATTCAGGCCAAAGCAGGTATTCACATAATGAGTCATGCATTTGATCTGTGTAGATTGATAACAGATAGGCTTATGCTTATTAATGGAAGCTGCTGTTCATCTCTACCCCTTTTGTGTTGGTCTATCCATGCTGTTACCTAGGCACCCAACTCAGTGATGTCCAAATTACTGATGGATGACTCAAGCTACACCATGCCTATGTCCTCAGGTAAAGAATAATAATAGAAACCAACATAGATAGGTACGTGTACAGGCATTAAATAGGCAGTATTCACATGCCTGTAAGGTGGTGATTATTTCCCTCCCTCCCTTCCATTTATATGTCAGTTTGAGGCTTAGAGAAGATAATGTCTTGCCTGTGGTTACTCAGTAAGAGGCGAAACAGAGAAACCCAGGGCTTGGCTTAAGAGTTCTTGTTTCAATTAGACCTCATTGTCTCTTGGCCCATAAGGATATGAGAGACGAGATGTATTAGAGACATGTAGGGGTCATCTGGCCCACTAATGACTCATCACCAACTCACCAGATTTACCATGGGCACCTAATTTGTGTGCACTCTAGAGTGCTTGCTCCTTTACCTGTCACTAACAAAGTAAAGTTAGTCAACTGAAGGCAGTGACTCATGTCTCTTACTAGGTCAGCATATTCCTAGTGGCTGGGACCTACTCAGGAAAGAGCATGAGTATATGGTTAAAAACATTTTCTTTGCAAGAGTGGTACCCTAAAGGGTCTTATTACTCACCAGCTTTAAAGGCAATAATGTGAAACTTTGCTGCCACTGAGTGTAAGGGTGCCAAACCAGTACTGTGTAGTAGTGGTGGCAGGGGGCATCAGGAAAATACTGACTCATAGCAGAGGGCCTCATGAGACTGCTGTGAGAGAAAAGGATTGGAAATTAGCTTTGTTTTTCCATACATGAGAAGCAGACTGAACTGAAGTTCCACAGCTTCCTCGGGAAGGCGGACCTAAGGGGCTGGTTTTGCTGCAGTGTTAAGCACTTAACCTGTTGCATCACCAAGAATGTAAACCTGTGCTAGTGTGTTTCTCAACTGACTCACCTAGTTTTGTCTCCTCTGGGGCACAGAGTGCCTACTTCTCTATAAAAACAGGACACAGAAACAGCTTAGCAAGCATGGGACCAGAGTTGGTCAAGCCATGCTCCAGTTGTCCCTCCGGAGTCTGGGCTTACTTCTGGAATAAAATGTTCAGTTACAATTTGGGTTTCAGAGATTAATAACCACTGCTTGTATTTTCAAGAAGCCAGGAAAAAAGTCAATTTCTTGTACTTTCTTACTCTCTGAAAGAGTCCTACTTCTCTCTCTTTTCAATATGGGGACTGGTCATTTGTCTTCAACCATCAGAGAAAATAGTGGGCTTGTCACACTTCCTGGGTTTGAATCCCATCCTTAGTACTTGGCTAGTTGTGTGTCATTGGGGAAGCTACTTTTCTGTACCTCAATTTCCCCACAGGGACAGTAACATAACTGCATTAAGAGTAGCTGAAGGTTAAATGAGATTACCACATGTGTGCCCAGCCCACATGCACATTCCGGAAATGGCTGGCTCTCATTAGAAAGATTCAAGGCCAGTCCAAGAAGTATAGCTGGGCCTCAAGAATGTAAAAATTTGCATATCACCTCTACCATTCTGTGTAACTAGCTGCATTCTCCTCTCTTCATATTGCAGCAGTCTAAATGCACATGATCCTCAGAGGCAGCCAGGGCATCTACAGAATGCACTGTGCTATCACAGTGCCCCTCCCTCCCTCACCTGCAGGGGAGCCTGTCTCCACCTGCAGGGGAGCCTCTGTCTCCCCCGGCTGTGAATAATGAACCTTGGAACCTTTATCCAAACCATCATCATCACAAAAGAATCAAGAATCCCACGCATATTTAACTTTTCAGGAATTTTTATTGTTTCAGACCCAGTCATGCATACTAAAATTACATATTTTCACCACTTTGACTTAGAAAATGCACTAGAAAAATAAACTTTTGGTCAAAACAAACACTGAAGTACATGAATCCACCATGTATCCCTATACACAAAGCCAAACTGAATTTCAGTTTGAAGCAAAGACTGTGACCAGTGGCTGAAATGATGGCCCAAGCTGGTCAGAAAATTAGCTCACCTCCCACTCCATCAGAGGCTCTTGGTCAGAGAGGTTTCAGGTATTTCACTTTTAACAGGTTCCTACCTAATATGCCAAAAGCCGAGGCACAGCCACAAGAATCCACAGCAACATCATCTCACTGCCTCACTAAACCTGCTGCCCGGTGAGATGAAAAGAAAAACAGCCCAGTGATAAGTAGGAATTTCATCATCTCTATTCACAAATCACATCGATCCTTCCCATGAAGCAAGTTCCTATAGACTCTACTGATGCTTGTTACTAGCATTTAAAGCAAACCATTTTTCCAAGTCAGGAGAGCAGAAGAATGAATGAATTTATTTCAGGGCAGCAGAATAATTTACGTATGTATGTATGTATTTGAGATGAAGTCTCGCTTTGCTGCCCAGGCTGGAGTGCAGTGGCACGATCTCGGCTTACAGCAACCTCTGCCTCCCCAGTTCAAGCAATTCTCCTGCCTCAGCCTACCAAGCAGCTGGGATTACAGGTGCACACCACCACACCCAGCTAATTTTTGCATTTTTTAGTAGAGGTGGGGTTTCGCCATGATGCTAGCCTGGTCTCAAACTCCTGACCTCAAATGATCTGCCCCTCCCTTGGTCTTCCAAAGTTCTGGGATAATAGGCATGAGCCACCGCACCTGGCTGAGAGCAGAAGAATTTAGATTTACAAAATTAACAGATCCCAGTGCGGAGAGTCATTACCAGAACAGACATCTTTCGTGAACAGTAGACATGTTTCTGTTTGGTATCTCCACACCTCTCATGGCCACAGGACAGCCACATGAATATAATTGGTTTAGCTAACATTTTACTCCCTAAATGAAAGGAGGCTTTAAAGGAAAACCTTAGATGTTGGCAACTTTAAAATGGTAAAACTTTTTAAAAAGGTATTATAATCGCCATAGCAGTACTCTGGCTTTTGCTACCCAAATGAAAAAAAAAAAAAAAAAAAATCCCACAGTTGAGCTGAGAGTCAAATAGCATCTAAAGAAATTGCCCACCCAGGGAGAATTCAGAAAGGCTCAATATAAAGGAATTCAGAGAAATGACTCTTACTGTCACATTTCTGGGAAAACCGTGTTTTGTAAGCTGATTTATTTTTTATTTCTATTTATTTTTGAGATGGGAGTTTCACTCTTGTCACCCAGGCTGGAGTGCAATGGTGCAACCTTGGCTCACTGCAGCCTCTGCCCCCTGGGTTCAAGTGATTCTCCTGCCTCAGCCTCCTGAGTAGCTGGGATTACAGGCACTCACCACCACGCCTGGCTAATTTTTGTATTTTAGTAGAGACAGGGTTTCACCATGTTGGCCAGGCTGGTCTTAAACTCCTGACTTCAGGTGATCCACCCACCTCAGCCCCCTAAAGTGCCGGGATTACAGGCATGAGCCACTGTGCCCAGTCTTCTAACCTGACTTATAAACTTCCTAAGATAAGTGACTCCTTGTGAAACCAGGATGAAATACGAAAGCTCTAAAGATACTTTTGTGTTGATATGTGCAGCAGCAATTGGATTAAAAAAAAATGCAAGAAAAAAATTAAAAAAATAAAGCAACCTTTGCCAAGAGCAAGTTAGAAAATCAAGACATGAAGCCAGGGTGGCACTTCTGGTTGTTTCTGTAGATTTCATCCAGTCTCTCCCCTGTGAAGGCAGAATAGGATTCTAGGAAGAGGCACAACTTCCCAGAATTCCATGTTGGGATGTGGGTGAAGAAGAGGAAGAAGATTCCCATATTCTGAAACTTACAGATTGATTTGGAAGCTTTTAGGTACCAATTCATTCAGACCTAAATTTCCTAAATAACAAGACGGTTGAGGGGGAAAAAAAGGAAAAAACTTCTAAAAAGAGAGAGTACAGTGTCTCTGTGGCAGTAAAGTCAACTAGATAACCAGGAATAAAGTTTGGAGTATAGATCTCCTTTCTCACAGAATTGCTCAGGGATGTTAAACAGCTCATCCAAGGCCACACAGTGAGGTAAAGGTGGAGCCCGCGTCTCCTAATTTACTGTCCCATTTCATGATACCACACTACCTTGAATTTAGGGAAAAGTTAATTTCCAAGTGTTCATATATTGGGCTAGAAGTTCTCCCTGAAGGAAAATACTCCTAGCTCTTGAGGTTCACGTGTTTGTCTCACCAGTGCGCTCCCCTCTACTGAGAAATGCTCACGGTGCTCCCTTATTCGTCATTCCCCACCCCGCTGAGGCAACGTGACACAAACACCCAGGTGAAGCCACAAGGAGACCACCTTGATTTTCACCCAGGGAGGGCTTGGTTTCACAGCTTGGTTCAAGCTTTCTGAGGTGTCAAAACTATTTGATATCTCTTTGGAGCCAAAACAAAGCAAGCAGCTCCTAGAGGCAAATGACCTAGGCCCCGACTTCTTCCAGAAGCTGAGTGAAACCACTCCTTCCTTGTCCAGCTGGAAAAACCTAAGAAACAAGCCTCTCCAAGTCTGGTCTTTGAGATAATCTCTTCTGGTGTTTGAGATAATTCTCTAGGAGCACTTTGGCCATGCCTATGTTAAGACAAAGGCCAGGAATGCAGTGTAGAATTTAAACCCCAGGGCTGAGTGATTCATCCCTCTTTACCTAGTTTTTTATTTTGTTTATCTGTCTTCCCTCTTGGGACCTAAGAAAGCCTCCACCCAGTTCTCCCATCCAGGCCACTGGGTTCTGAACCCCCTCCTTCAGCCATCCCACTTGCCCTACTTGGGCCTTTTCAGCAATGCTGGTCACATCATCATCAGATGGTACTAGAAGCAGCCAGGAGTGCTTTTCCGCACTTCCAGCTCGGCCAGGACCCTAGAGGATCCAGGGTTAGTATCCATGGTGAAAAGAACTCTAGAATTGTATTAATGAGGTAAAGTAAATTAATTTCCACCAATAACTTCTCCAGACATTTAGAAAAGCCATAGAGATGAACAACTTAGTAGCAACAGACTAGCCTTCAAATTTCAGAGTACTGTTCTCTCCCTAACTGAGCTATCTGCCTTGACTGGTTAGTTTATAAATGCATGGAGAAGGTGCACACACAACACATAATACTTGTCACTGTTTAACACCAAGATCACATGGAATACATCTGAAAGGAAATAGGTAGAAAGCTATCATGTGAACCACCTAATTTGGTGCTTGGGCTAAGGCTAAAATCTTGACAGGGAAGAGCTAAAGTGCTGAAATGCAGAACATTCGGGCTGGCTGGTTCACCCAGACCAGAGAGAGAAACTCAAGTGGGGCTGGGAGGGCAGGGGGCCCAGAAGTGACCCAGCAATAACCTGCCCTTATGTTCATTTCCAGAGACCAAAATTTAAGAATCTCAAGTAATTAACTACTATAGCCAGGTTTACAATATAGTACCAGAGTCTTAGGGGTGGAAGGAATTCATCATACAAGATCCTGATTGCTTCACCTAGCCCCACAAAAGCCATCTTTTCAAAATTTAACCGTCACTATAAAAAGGAAATTGGTATCACTGAGTCCCAGGAATACACATAATTGTTTCTTTAAAGGCAGGGCTAATTGGTGACACATCTCTCTTGCAAACACACGTGTACCACAAAAAAACAAAACCAAACCACAGGATCCAACCACTTGTATCTAGATAGTTACCTTTCTGGGCAGAAAATCTAACATTCAGTAACTAAACCAAATCTCAGAAGTCCATCAGCCAAAATGGCCCTAGCTGACATTTCATCCAGCCTCATTTTGCAGAGAAAGTTGAGGCCCACAGAGGCCCATGTCTTGTCCATAGTTGCACACTTGGGTGGGATCCAGGTCTCTGATTCCTAGACCAGAATTCTTGTAGCTACATGGGCCTGGAATGCAGTATTTTCGGTTGAGTAAAATCACTTCCTGCCAGGTCCCTGTATGATTCTATTGAGAACCAGGGCTAAGGCTTTGTGGATTTGGGAAAACTTAAGTTTCCACTGCAAGCTTCAACCAATGAGTCCTAGAGCTGCTTTGAAGTTTCCAGCTTCCACATTTGACCACAAAGTGCTGCTTTTGTCCTGATGCTTGCATGATTAAGTTAAGATGCTTTCCAAACCCAGTCACAGCAGCTGGGGCCCGCATCTCTAGTTAAGTTTCCCGATGAGCAGCAGAAAGACACAAACTCCCAGTGTCACATTTGGTCACACTGCAGGTTTGGCCAAATTATTTCATAGAAGTAGTTCTGACTGGCCAGAAAGGTTTTTCTCCTGGAAAGTGGGATCAAAGTGACTTTGGTCCTGATTTTTCTTGCTTCCAAGATGTGTAAGAACCAGATCACCACCCCCCAACCAAAAAAACAAAACAAAACAGATAGAGCCTCCAGATTAATAGTTGCAAACTGGGATCCCAAATGTTTAAGAATCAGTGGGGACATTTTCCATGTCTTCCATGGAGTAATTCAAGTAACCAAAGGCTTACCCCAAAATGGGCTCCCCCTCATATCTCACAGGCTGTTCCTCCATCTCGTAGTTTAATTACAACGAGCAAGACTGAATCCGTGGCACCTTAAATTCTTGTGCCTCTCCAAAGAAAAAAAGGAAAAGAATGAAGGATGGTGACCCTGGGGGACAGGCTAGTAGCAGGAGTATAGCTGTGACTTCACAGCTCGCAGGGAGTCATCACACTGTGTATCTGAGGTCAGGCCCTCAGGCAGCAGCGCCTGGCCCAGGATGCTGTCACAGGCAGGGACAGGTTGGCAGAACTCTTTCACAAAGTCGTCTTCTGAAGCCAGCAGCACTGCATTCCAGGTGGCAGTGTCCAGCTCCCCAGCCGTGCCCCCGTACTCCCTGGGGAGAATGCTTCTTGGAAGGCTTGTGTGGAGAGAGTTCAAGTCAGACCCATGGAGGAAGAACTAAAGGGAAATGAAATGAAAACACATATGTCTTTAGGTTAATCAGGAATGCAGAAATCTCCTTCGTGGCAGGTGCCCAAATAAATGTCTGTTGAATGAAGAAAGGAAAGGTTAATGGCAACCCTACCCTTCCTTTTTCAGCCCAGAAAGCCTGGAGTATCCTTAATTCTCTTTTCCTTATACCATACGCCCTGTTGGCTGGACCTTCAGAATGTATCCAGGATCCAGCCACCTCACCACCACACTAATGGCAGCATGTCACAGTGCTTCTCCCCTGGATTCCTACAGTGGCCGCCTACCTGGTCTCCCTGCCCCCAATGGTCTCTCTACAATCTAAGTTCTTTTCAATGAAAGTCAGTTCACAGTTGTTCCTCTGTGTACAGCCTTCCAGCACTCCCACCTCACAGACTCAGGGGCCCCTCACAATCTTGCCTTGTTACTTCTCTGAGTCCTCCTCTGACCACTTGCCCCTCCCGTTTTGAACCAGCTGCGCCAGCCTAGCTGCTCTCCCTGCATGCCAGGCAGACTCCCACATCAGGGGCGTGCCCTTGCTCGCCTCCTGGATACCTAGATGGCTCACTCCCTCACCTCTCAAGTCTGCTCAAATGTCTACTTCTCAAGGCCACCACCTCTAACCACTCAGTTGAATACCGCAACCTTTCCCACCTCACACATGCTATCCTTTTCTCTGCTTTATTTTTCTCTGTAGCACTTATCACATTCTAATACTCGATAACATAATTCACTGTGGCTCCCTTTAGAATATAAGCTTCCGAGGGGCAGGGATTTTGGTCTGTTTTGTTCATCTAGAACATGCTTGCAAGTAGAGTTGATCAATAGTTATTTCTGAATGAATGAACCTATGAAGGAACAAAGGAAGAACATTGTAGGCCCCAAACGGGCATTTTGCAGATGTCAAAGACTTGTCCAAAGGCTGCTTTGGTAAAAGTTCCAAACAGAATCTTTAGGGACCCATATGGGTCCACAGACAGGCAGAGAAGCCACTGAATTAGTGGTTTGCAAGTCTAGCTGTGCATCAGAATCTCCTAAGGGGATTTTAAAGCACAGATCCCTGAGCTGATGAATCAAATCTTCAGGGAAAGAACCTGGGAATCTGGAGCTGGATTTCGAGTTTCCTCCCTTACAACTTTGAGATTTTCTATCTATATATGTTAATTCTTTGAAAATGCAAGGGCCCAGCATGGAGGCTCATGCCTGTAATCCCAGCACTTTGGGAGGCCAAGGCTGGTGGATCACCTGAGGTCAGGAGTTTGAGACCAACCCAGCCAACACAGTGAAACCCTTTCTACTAAAAACACAAAAATTAGCCAGGTGTGGTGGTGGGCACTTGTAGTCCCATCTACTTGGGAGGCTGAGGCAGGAGAATCACTTGAACCTGTGGAGCGGAGGTTGCAGTGAGCTGAGATCTTACCACTGTACTCCAGCCTGGGCAACAGAGCAAGACTCTTTTAGAAAAAAGAAAAAGCAAGTAAAATTCAGGGCCGTCTTTGGAATGGTCATCCTAAGCTTTGGGAAGGAGAAAAATACCATCCATCCCATTTCAGTCAGTGGTGCTAGGAAAGGGAAGAGAGAGGTGGCTCTTCTGGGTCAGAAAGGAAGACTCAAAGTGCCACTCATCCCTTAAATAAGAGGTAAGCTAAAAACTCACCTAACTCATAAACGTTGAATTGTTCCACAAACTACACAGCGGGACAACATGTTAGGCAAATGGAAAGGCTTAGGCAGCATTTTTTAAGCCCCACAGTGCTAATGACTGTAACTTAAAAAAAATTATTTGAGAGACAGTGTTCTGCTGTTACCCAGGCTAGAACACAGGGGCAAGACCATAGCCCACCGCAGCCTTGAACTCCTGAGCTTGAGCAATCCTCCCACCTCAGCCTTCTGCATAATGGAGACTATGCCATCACACCAACCTAATTTTTTTTTTTTCGTTGAGACAGAGTCTCACTATTGCCCAGGCTGGAGTACAGTGGCATGATCTTGGCACACTGCAATCCCTGCCTCCGAGATTCAAGTGCTCTCTTGCCTCAGCCTCCCAAGTAGCTGCAATTACAGGCATGTGCCGCCACACCTGGCTATCTTTTTTTGTATTTTCAGTTGAGATGGTTTCACCATGTTGGCCAGACTGGTCTCAACTCCTGACCTTAAGTGATCGGCCCACCTCAGCTTCCCGAAGTGCTAGGATTACAGGCGTGAGCCACAGCGCCCAGGCACACCCACTTAATTAAAAAAATTTTTTTAGAGCTGGGGTCTTGCTACACTGCCGAGGTTGGGAGGATCTTATGATAAAAATCCTGGCTGTGCTCACTCTACTGGCAAATATTACATTCTTACTAACATCTTCCATCTTCCCCTCACAAAAAGGGACTGTTCATTTATTTTATCTTTAACTACTTTCCAAATTAGTTGTCCCAGGGCAAAAATAAACAAGTTCCAGATGTCACAAATAAATCAATGGAGGGAGGAAAGAAAAAATCTCAAGTCAATAGGATCATCACTTACTCTGTTTGCTATTTTCTCCTTCAGAAATGGTTTTATGATGGCAAAAATGCCTTTAAATATTCGAGGTTCATTTACAACATGGACTGCTTTTATCCGAATGGGGAAACCATCCTGTGTGGGAAAGGTAAAGGGGTTTAGAACATCTGCAGAGTCTTTCCACACCTTCCTCCCCCCCGTTAAATCTTCATTTTCAGCTCCAATACGTAAGTCTGATCTGATCCTGATGGCCGCCTCAATGACAGTCCACGTGGGGCCTAAATAGGCAGACAGACCTCAAGGAAAGTCTTCCCTGGGACCCAGAACTGGGTAAGAAGAGAGGCAAACAGAGGCTGGGTGTGGTGGCTCACACCTGTAATCCCAGCAATTTGGGAGGCTGAGGCAGGCGGATCACTTGAGGTCAGGAGTTTGAGACCAGGCTGGCCAACATGGTGAAACCCCATCTCTACTAAAAATACAAAAATTAGCTGGGCATGGTGGCACACATCTGTAATCCCAGCTACTTGGGAGACTGAGGCTGGAAAATTGCTTGAACCCAAGAGGTGGAGGTTACAGTGAGCCAAGATCATGCCACTGCACTCCAGCCTGGGTGACAGAGTGAGACTCTGTCTCAAAAAAAAAAAAAAATGAAGAGAGGCAAACATATGAAGAGCTGTTGCTCTTATAGCAGAAAACAAGTCTGAATCTATAGGCATGGATCTGGCAGATATCAGACCTTCTCCATCAGTGTTGCCAAAGTATATTTCTCAGGAAATTAGAGGTTATACAAAACAGGGCTCCACAGAACACAGTCCACTAAGCACAACCAAGTGGGTTTCTTTAACTGTAGTCCTGTTCAGAGCCTTTAACATGTAAATTCTTACAATGAAATTTACAAGAAAGGGACAGGCTATACCACATTTCCCAAACTTATTTAATTTTTTCACTTTGTTAGATGATGGACACTGATCCACACTCTTAAACCTGACACTTGAAACTACGTGGTGTTCAGCAGGAAGCATCAAAAGGAGTGCCAGTGAAGGAAAGCCAGGGTCGGCTCAAAGTCAGAATTCAAATTTATGATAATGTCCAAATGTGCACTGATTTCTTTTTGAGATGGAGTCTGGCTCTGTCACCCAGGCTGGAATGCAGACCTCGGCTCACTGCAACTTTCACCTCCCAGGTTCAAGTAATTCTCCTGCCTTAGCCTCTCAAGTAGCTGGGATTACAGGCACCCACCACCATGACCAACTAATTTTTGTAATTTTAGTAGATGGGGTTTCACAGTGTTGGCCAGCCTGGTCTTAAACTCCTAACCCCATGATCCGCCTGCCTCAGCCTCCCAAAGTGCTGGGATTAGAAGCATGAGCCACCAGGCCCGGCCATATGCCCTGATTTCTTTAAATAATAAACCTGGTGCACCACAGGGACCGAAACATTTGTGGAATCCAGCGAGAAGACCTACTATAGCATTGGCGCCCCAGAGTTCACAAAAGACAACACCCCACATGGTGGGTCAGAATGAACAAGTAATCAAAACCTGTCACACCTGTGACAGACTATATTTTCTCTAGGTCTCAGTTTCCCCATCTATCAAAAAGGAAGAACAGTTCTTGCCTTGCCTATCTCAGAGGATTTGTTGAAGGACTGAATGGGCCATGATGGCTGTAAAACCTGCAAGCCGTTAAACATGGTGCAGATATGTAGGGAACCCAGACTCCAGTGACTCGTGTTCTCAAACACAGAACATGAAGTACGAAGCATCTGACCAAAATACAGCCCAACAGAGCACCACATCCCCCAGGTCCACAGAGGGTAGGAGGGGCTCCAGCACCTTGGGCAGAAGCATCATTTCTTAAGTTGTTTTTTTTTTTTTTTTTGAGGCAGAGTTTTGCAGTTCTCGCCCAGGCTGGAGTGCAATGGCACAATCTCATGTCATTATAACCTCTGCCTCCTGGATTCAAATGATTCTCCTGCCTCACCCTCCCAAGTAGCTGGGATTCCAGGCACCTACCACAACGCCCAGCTAAGTTTTATATTTTTGGTAAAGACGGCATTTCACCATGTTGGCCAGGCTGGTCTCGAACTCCTGACCTCAAGTAATCCACCCACCTTGGCCTCCCAAAGTGTTGGGATTACAAGCATGAGGTACCACGCCTAGCCAGTTTTGTTTGTTAGGAGAATTTTTCCTCTGCCTTCCAGACCAAAAAAAGGCAAAAAGCAGTTCCCTAGTTTTTTGGACTCTTGCCTTAACAATGAAGTACCTACTCCAGAGGGTACTTGAGAGACTGATAAGAACAAGTGGTAAATAGGACTTTTAAATTTCTTCCCATAATGCTTTTGTGTTTTTCATATTGCAGGTGTGGGATGTGCAGTTTGTGTATCATGTGAGACCCACAGTAAACGGACAGGCCCTGGGGAAAGCCAGAGCCACCATGAAACAGGCAGGACAGACAGGGGTCTTACCTGGAGGATGCCAATCACCTTTTTGGCTATAAAAGGGCCAAAGTGAGATGCTTTTGATAAACTCACTCCTTTGTAGTCTGCAAGAATTACAATTCCATTCACTTGGGTTTCTTCCGACTGAATGAGTTTCTCTAAGGTCAAGTATATGGCTCGGATGTTTTCGGTAATTGGATAGTTGCTTGGTATCCATCTGTCTAAGGTCGTAAGAGATTGACAGTATGTTACAGAAATTAATATAAATAAGTGATCAGACAAAGATTTATCTCCTTTCTAACACTATTGTTTCAAAATGGAAAAAGGTGTTCTAGTGGCCGTGTCTCTATTTAGGTTAGCAAATGGAACAACAAGCAGCAGCTGGTTTCCTAACTCCAACCAGCAGCACATTTTGCAATGCAATACAATGGAGTGTTGAGGTTAAAAGCATGAGCTCTGGCTGGGCACAGCGGCTCATGCCTGTAATCCCAGTACTTTGGAAGGCCGAGGTGGGAGGATCGCTTAAGCCCAGGAATTCAAGACCAGCCCAGGCAACATGGCAAAACCCATCTCTACAAAATATACAAACATTAGCCAGGTGTGGTAGGGTGTGCCTGTAGTCCCACTACTTGGGAGGCTGAGGTGGGAGGATCACATGAGCTCAGGAGGTTGAGGCTGCAGTGACCATGATCATGCCATGTACTCAAGCTTGGGTGACAGGGCGAGACCCTGGATCAAAAAAAAAGACCCTGCCTCTCTGAGGTAAAAAGTATTCTCTCTGAAGTAAAAAGCATGCATTCTGGGCCAGGCACAGTGGGTCACACCTGTAATTTTAGCACTTTGGAATGCTGAGGCGGGCGGATCACAAGGTCAGGAGATCAAGACCAGCCTGGCCAACATGGTAAAACCCGTCTCTACTAAAAATACAAAAATTATCTAGGTGTGGTGGTGTACACCTGTAGTCCCAGCTACTCTGGAGGCTGAAGCGGGAGAATCACTTGAACCTGGGAGGCGGAGGTTACAGTGAGCTGAGGTTGCACCACTATATTCCAGCCTGGTGACAGAGTGAGACTCATTTAAAAAAAAAAAAAAAAAAAAAGTATGCATTCTGAAGTCAGACACACCTTAGGGTCTGAATGCTACCAGCTGTGTAACTGCGGGCAAGTTACTTCAATACCTCACTCTGAGCCCTCATCTCCTCATAAGAACAGGGTGGTAATACCTGCCTTCATGGACATCTGTGCTTTATGCCGTCATGTATTTCCCCTTATCTTCATAGCACCAACCTGATTTTCCTTAGGGAATTACCTCCTCCCTCTCTTGCCATGCAGTTTGGATAGAACTGACTTGACTCCTGACTTCAGAGGGGAGTGAGTGACTAGGGACCGATTGGCTAATCTGATAGCACATCCTTTTGGCCACAATGTGTGATCCAAGCCAGGTCAAGCAGAGTTGAGGAGACTCATTTCTAGGACTCTGGCCCTTGGGAAAGAGACCTCTTTCCTCTTGTAGTTTTGAGGCTGTGAGTCCGAGATTCATATGCCGCAGGAGGCAAAAGAGCTGGCCTGGGAATCAAGACCCTGTTGAGGACAGCAGTGGTTGAGACAGCTTTCCAGTGCCAGAGTTTGGGCCCCTGAATCCAGCTTCACCTGGACTTCAATTATCTAGCAACTGTGTTTTTTGCTTATTTCAACCAATGTGAGTTGGCTTTCTGTCACTTGCCACCCAAAGACTGAGTCTTGGCCAGATGTAGTGGCTCACGCCTGTAATCTCAACTCCTTGGGAGGCCAAGGCGGGTGGATCATTCGAGGTCAGGAGTTAAAGACCAAGCCTGGTCAACACGGTGAAACGCTGTCTCTACTGAAAATACAAAAATTAGCTGGGAATGGCGGTACATGCCTGTTGTCTCAGCTACTTGGGAGGCTGAGGCAGGAGAATCACTTGAACTCAGGAGGAAGAGGTTGCAGTGAGCCGAGATTGCACCACTGCACTCCAACCTGGGCAACAGAGGGAGACCCTGTCTCAAACAAAGAAACAAACTGAATCTTGACTCATACACAACCTTGAGGGGAGTACTGTGAGGATGAAGCATGGTGCTATGTTCCCTCATAAAACTCTTTCTAAGGTGAATACTTCTTTAACACGCTCCATGTATTTAATGATTCTTTCCTCTCTTTGGGGAAGAAAAAATGAAAATGCCCTTTTTTTTACTGTTAACCACTATTCTCAAGAAAATCACCACAAAAATCTGGGTGCCTCTTTCTTAAAAGATAAAACTTCCCCTCTGGGAGCAGTGACTCACGCCTGTAATCCCAGCACTTTGGGAGGCCGAGGAGGGCAGATCACAAGGTCAAGAGATTGAGACCATCCTAGACAACATGGTGGAACCCTGTCTACTAAAAATACAAAAAAATTAGATGGGCGTGGTAGCACACGCCTGTAGTCCCAGCTACCTGAGAGGCTGAGGCAGAAGACTCACTTGAACCCGGGAGGCGGAGGTTGCAGTGAGCTGAGATTGCAGCCCTGCACTCCAGCCTGGCGACAGAGCGAGACTTTGTCTCAAAAAAAAGATAAAACTTCACATTTGCCAACGAGATATGTGATATGTGCAAAATTCTTATGAAGGATCTTTGTCCCCAAATCGTGCCAGCTTGCTGTTTAACATTGCTGCCAATTGAACCTGCCTCTATTTAACTGGATATTATTCCTTTCAATCACGTCTTAAAAGAGCTTTAACAAAGGCAAAGCTGATGCCCAATTGAAAACAAATGTTTCTGTGTATGCCTCCTCCTAAAAGGCTGGGTTGGTGGGAAGGGGTCCAGATCTGCTCCAGACATATCGGGAAAAAAATTCACTCACGAGCAAAGCACTGAAACCATGCAAGCAAAGGTGCAATCAGTGTTGCAATATCTGACTGTGTTGTAATATTCTTAGGAGTTGAGTAAAGAAAAGCCGAAAAACCTGCTGACTGGTTTCTAGGTCTCCTGATGCCCTAAAATCTGCACTGCATTACTTATTTTAAAATAAACACCACTAATTTTGGCCAGTATCTTCAATAGCAGGTAAGCCATTAACAGTGGTCTTGGTACATACACAGTAAAGTCTGAAGAGAATGGTTTAGCTTCTAAAGAGAGTCTGGGGAATGACTAAAGGCAGAGGAAAGTGCATGGAGGTGTCAACTCCCCAGCAAACTTCCCTTCAAGAGGGCGTTTACATGCATGAGCAAAAGAGGGCTACCAGTGTGTTCTCATTCCCTGGCTTACTTGGGGAGAACACTGCATCTTACTTTCCATTTTTCTCTCAGCTCTGGTCTGATGGAAGCTAGGAGTGGAGTAGAACATTCCAAAGTTCATAATGCTTTTGGTGTCATGGAAGAGAACAGGCCTAAGAATCAGAAATCTCGAGTTCTGGCAGCCCCTGGTCACTGTTGAAATGTTCTTTAGGGAGCATTTCTTTCTTTCTTTTTTTTTTTGAGACGGAGTTTTGCTCTTGTTACTCAGGCTGGAGTGCAATGGCGCAATCTCGGCTCACCGCAACCTCCGCCTCCTGGGTTCATGCAATTCTCCTGCCTCAGCCTCCTGAGTAGCTGGGATTACACGCACGTGCCACCATGCCCAGCTAATTTTTTTTGTATTTGTAGTAGAGACGGGGTTTCACCTTGTTGACCAGGATGGTTTCGATCTCTTGGCCTCGTGATCCACCCGCCTCGGCCTCCCAAAGTGCTGGGATTACAGGCTTGAGCCACCGCGCCCGGCCTTCTTTTTTTTTTTTTTAACTTTTTGTAGAGACAGGGTCTCACCATGTTGCCCAGGCTGGTCTCAAACTCCTGGCCTCAAGCAGTCCTTCTCCCTTGCCCTCCCAAAGTACTGGGATTACAGGTATGAGCCTCTGCGCCTAGCTGGGGAGTATTTCTAAATGCTCTTTTAGTGGCAGAGAGCCCCCATTCATAAACTACCATGACAAAGAAATGTAAGGTATCCTGATTACTGCCATGAAGTGCTAAGATCAAAAAACAAATCCAAAGTGAATCCTGTCCATGGCTTAACAAAACAGAGGAAAGGAAGCAAAGGTTGGAGGAGGCACAGAGGAGGCACCTTTCCAGGTGTCTGCCCAGTCCACACCCTTGCACTGATACCTGTACCGCAAAGTACCCACAAAGAGGACTCAGTGAGGGCCCTGGCAGCCATGCTTGTACCCTGCACTAGGGGCAGGCTTCTCAGCCCCACCAGAAATCTGGAATCTGAATTGAGGCACTTAATTGGGTGGTTAGGCAAACCTGAGAGCTGAGGGGGTGCCAGATTTAACTACATGCACTGGAGTACGACAGCCATACACAGAAAAAAGTGTGAAGATGTGCAAAAGGCAGAAATGTGTGGCTGAAGGACACACAGCCCATCAGGCAGAGACAGGGAGAACAGCTGTCTTGCCTCCTGGTGGCATTCTGGTTCTTGGTTCTAGGCCCTAGTAAGAGCTGCCAGACCTCTCTTCTGGTTCTGGGATATACTCATTATATATCCCAGAGTATATATGTCATTAAATATACTCCTGTCTCCTTAGACTAAATCCTTCCTTTTTTCTGACGTTGGTTTGAGTAGGTTTTTGTCATCTACAATCCAAAGAGCCTTGACTATGACAAAGGAAGGGTAAAAAGGGGACTCAGATAGGAGGACAGGGTGCTGAATGGACACACTGCAGAAAGACTGGACGCGCACGCCCCACAACAGTCTAGGGAGATACCTGGGCGGATGCAGACGACATGGCAGCCCCTGGGGTCAGTGTGGGGCAGAACCGTGAGGAACCCGGAAGCAAGGACATCTTTTAAGGCTGATGGCTTCAAGTTATTGAAGACTTCGGGCCAGCTTCTCCTGCAGCTGTGGTAGTTGACGAGGAGCTGCAGGGCCCGGTCATAATCAAACTTGCGGGCCCGGAGGAAGCGCAGCAGGAAGGCATCGTCGAGGGACGTGGTCAGGTTCGGGTACTCCTTCCGCACCATGTCACGGAGGGCCTGCACATCTCGAAGTCTCCATTCCGGCTTTTCCTGCAGCTCTTCCCGGGCTTTGGTGACCAGTTCTTCTGTCAGTGAGCACACGTAGCCTGGAGGCTCAGGTGGTGGTGGCAGCTCATTTTCAGAGAGTGAGGCCACAGAAGGGCTGGTTCTCAGAGAGTCACTTTCTTCTGACATTAGCTACCAGGGTCCCTGCCAACACAGAAGCCCTAAGCCACGTTAACAAGGCTTAGCAGTGCTTATTCCAAATCCCAGGGCAGCACAGTGCAGGGGACAGGAACACTTCCTGTAAAAGCCGAGTAACCTCAGAGCAGTGTTTCTCAACTGGGGGCAATGAACTGGATCTAAACCATACACACAAGTCTGACCCCAGGCCAGCTGCATCCCCAGGGAGGTAGCCGGCAGCTCTAGCAGACTATACACTCCCTAATGAACACCAGGGCCTTACTTATAAATGTATGAATAGGTACTCAACCTTATTTGTCATTAAATAAATGTAAATTAAAACAACTCTGAGGCCAGGCAAGGTGGCTCATGCCTGTAATCCCAGCACTTTGGGAGGTCGAGCAGGTGGATCACCTTAGATAAGAGTTTGAGACCAGCCTGACCAACATGGTGAAACCCCATCTCTACTAAAAACATAAAATTTAGCTGGGCATGGTGGCACATGCCTGTAATCCCAGTTACTCAGGAGGCTGAGGCAGGAGAATCGCTTGAACTGAGGAGGTGGAGGTTGTAGTGAGCCAAGAGCACACTATTGCACTCCAGCCAGAGCGAGAGTCAGTCTCAAAAAAAAAAACAAAAAAAAACCAACTGTGAGATTCAGATTGGCAAAAATTAAAAAAAAAAGTGCTCTGATATGCTTGCTGCTGCTGGGAGTACAAATTGACATAGCCTCTTTGGAGGGAAGCTGTCAACATCTTCAGAATGTAAAGCCACATGCCCTTTGGTCAACAATTCCATTTCTAAGACATATACTTGTATATATGTGCAAAATATGCACATGGCCTTCACAAGTATTGATTATCATGATAAAAGATTAGAAACACCTTAACTGCCCATGATGGGGGGACTGGTTAAGTAATATTACCATATGAATGGGGTACTACTCAGTCATGAAAAGGAATTAGGAATTAGGCAGATCTTTATGAATTGACATGTTAAAAAAGCAAGTTGTAGAATAGTGTACAGAAAATCATGTTCTTAATATACACACATATATACACTTGTGAATGCACAGAAAATTTCTAGAAGGATATAAGGAACTTCCCAATGGTTACCTCTAGGGAACATAACTGTACAAGTAACATTAAAGATGAGAAAGGGGATTTTTACTGTACTGTTTGAATTTTTTACCATGTACCCACGTAATTTGTGGCAGCTGGGAATATGTGCCCGTCAGATTTCCTGCTGGGAAAATGTAATTGATAAAGGGCCCTAGTGGCTGTCCCTCTAGATCCACTCCAGGGGAAGCCAAAACTTCCCACAGCCCTCTGTGGCCTCACCGCTCATAGCCAATGATTGAGTGAGACATGGGACTCCTCTAACAGGCAGCTTTGGCTTGAGGGCCTGGCCAAACCTTTGTTGGGACTGCCCTGCAGGTAGACTTGCTGCCCAAACCTCCTTCACAGGAGCTGATTTGCATCACTGTCAATAGCTCTTCCTGACTTCTGCTCCCTTCCTCCACTGTTGTTCTTCACAGGGGCTGCCTCTAAATTTCTAGCATGTCTAATCTCATTCTAGTGTCTGCTTCTTAGAGGACCTGAATTCATGCACTTTTTTTTTGTTGACATGGAGCCTTGCTGTCACCCAGGCTGGAGTGCAGTGGCACAATCTCGGCTCACTGCAACCTCTACCTCCTGGGTCCCATCTAGCCTCCTGTCTCTGGCCTCAGTCTCCTGATTAGCTGGGATTACAAGCATGCATCGCGATGCCTGGCTAATTTTGACATATTTTTAGTAGAGATGGGGTTTCACCATATTGGCCAGGCTGGTCTTGAACTCCTGACCTTGTGATCTGCCCACCTGGGCCTCCCAAAGTGCTGGGATTACAGGTGTGAGCCAATGTGCCTGGACTTTTTTTTTTTTTTTTAAAGATGGAGTCTTGCTCTTGTCACCCAGGCTGGAGTGCAATGGTGTGATTTCAGCTCACTGCAACCTCCGCCTCCTGGATTCAAGTGATTCTCCTGCTTCAGCCTCCCGAGTAGCTGGGATTATAAGCATCCGCTGCCACGCCCAGCTAATTTTTTTGAATTTTTAGTAGAGATGGAGTTTCACCATGTTGGCTAGGCTGGTCTCGAACTCCTAACCTCAGGTGATCACCTGCCCTAGCCTCCCAAAGTGCTAGGATTACAGGCATGAACCACCGTGCCCAGCCATACTTTTTTTGTTTTTTAAGAGAGAGATAGGGTCTTGCTCTGCCACCCAGGCTTAAGTGCAGTGGCATAATCATAGCTTTCTGCAACCTCGAACTCTTAGGTTCAAGCAATCCTCCTGCCCCAGCCTCCCAGGTAGCTGGGACTATAGGCACACACCAACATGCCTGGCCAATTTTTAAATTTTTTTCTCAGGCTGAGCATGGTGGCTCACACTTGTAATCCCAACACTTTAGGAGGCTGAGGCAGGTGGATCACCTGAGGTCAGGAGTTCGAGACCAGCCTGGCCAACATGGCGAAACCCTGTCTCTCCTAAAAATACAAAAATTAGCCAGGCATGGTGGCGCACACCTGTAGTGCCAGCTACTTGGGAAGCTGAAGCAGGAGAATCGCTTGAAACCAGGAAGCAGAAGTTGCAGTGAGCCAAGATTATGTACTGCACTCCAGCATGGGCGACAGAGTGAGACTCCATCTCAAATAAATAAATAAAAATATATTTTAAAAGGACCACTCTGCTGTCTTGAGAATGAACTCTAAGGGGGTGAGGACCAAAGCAAAGAGGCCATTTAGAGGTTATTGTAATAATCCAGGTGAGAGATGCTAGTGGCCTGGAGCAGGTAGCCTTTGCTGACCCCCAGGCCAGGTGAGGCTTTTGCCCTACACTTCTCTCACTCTGCTGCAATTGTCTGTTGGCAATTTGTGAGCAACATCCAGGTATGTCTTCTTCATTATCTTAAATCCAGCATCTAACGTGGTGTTAGACACATAGTCTGCACTCCATAAATATTTATTGAATTACTTTCATCTGCTTGGCAGAGGTATGCTAAGTGAAGAATAGAACAACTATGGCTTTGTTTCTATGGAAGTCACCAAGAGATGCCTGCAAGAAGTCACCAAGAAATTTAGTGTCTACCTGAGACAAACTAGTGTTCACAAGGTATAGGCCTCACCTCCAGCCTCATTTCCCACCTCACCCCACCTTGATGCATATTAAATACCAGTCAAAACAAACTGATGACCCATCATCCTTGGAACACCTCGTGCACTTCTGATACACTCTACCTGAAAATTTCTCTTCTTTGTTCCTAATCAGACAGCTCAAATTGCCTTCAAGACCCAGCTGCCAGGTTACCTCCTCTGTGAATCCTTCCCAAACTACCTGAGGGTGATTCCCTCCAGTTTTCCACAAAACTGGGTTCCTAATTCATTTTTAGAAATTACAGTCCAATGGCAGGGGCGTTTACATAAAACCAGGCTCAATTTCACCACCCATTCATTTATCCAATAATTACTGATCACCTACCATAGAGGCACTGGGAACGCACATGCAAACAATCTAATTCTTTGCCTTATGAAGCTTACATCACAGTGGAATGAAGATAATGCATACTTGAGCATTTTACCATATATCAAGCATTGCTAAGCCCTTTATGCATTTCCTCATTTAATTTTCACAGTATTTGGTAAGAGCGCTGTTACTGTTCCCATTTTTAAAAGGACAAGGAGCACTGCCTCTTAGAATGTAAGTTTCACGAGGGCAGAGTGCTTGTCTGCCACGTCCGCTGCCACCTCCAGTGCCTGACACATGGCAGTGGCCTGTATACACCAGCGGGGGATATTGGTTAAGCAATGCGCCAAGGGGGCACCCGATGAGGCAGAGCAAGGATGCGTCTAGCCCCACCCTGGGCTCCTCATCTCTACCCTCCACCTGGAGCTTCCTATTGACTCTCCAGGGCCTCAGCAGTGCCGAGCGCCCAGCAGGGCTCAGTCACAGGCTGATGAATGAGCTGACAGGCGGACATATGAGTGAGATGCAGACACCACTTACGGGTGAAGCCGGGGATCTGCCCCCACATGGAGCCCATCGCTTTCCGGAGCATCACTTTCCTCTCCACCCCATCCACTCAACAAGCAGAGGTCAGGAGGCCATCTCTCCTGGAGCCCCCGACCCCCACATCTCGTGGACAACCTTCCGAAGCCCCCACTTCCGGCTGTCACCCCCTCCCCAGGTGTCCCCATTTCCTGGGGTCTCTCGCGCCTCTGGTACCCACTTCCGGTTATCCTTCCCTCTCAGAGGTCCCTCTCCTTGGCTCCCAGGGCACATGGACGGGCTCGCGGGCACTCACCGGCCCGGCTACGGGCGGAGCGCGGGTCAATCGGCGGCGGGAGCCTCGTCCGGCAGCGCGCGCAGAAACGACCCGCACTGCCGGCCCGGCCAGACCGGCCCTTCGCGCCGGAAGTGACGTGCCAGGGCGTGGGAGGCGGGGCTCCGCCTAGGGGCGCGCTTGTGCGACACCTCCCGGCAACGCCTGCGTTCTATCCCCACCTAGCGGCCGGGACTCAGCGCTGCGGACCCGGAGTGGCTGGGAGGAGCTGGGACGCCAGCCACTTGTCAAACCCGGCGTATAGATGGGGAAACTGAAGCTCAGAGAAGGAAGGAAAGAAGCTGCCATTTTCCAAGAGCATGCTAACATGTACCTGTTGTTTCACATCCATGATCTCATTAACTCCTCATATTTACGCAATTACCTTATTTCACGAAAAGGAAAGTGGCAATCAAGGCGGTAAAGGGCTTCAAACCTAGATCTCAGAATTAGCATTCTAGACTTTTCCTCTATTACGGCTGCTATCAGGACTGTCTGCTCCAAAAGGGGAGATTCCAAACCAGGAGACGTCTGTCTGTCATTAACTGAGTGACCTGGAGCAAGTCCCCTTTCCTCCTTGGGCCTCTGTTTCCTCATCTGAAACCTGATTCTTGCTCTGGAGCCTGATTCAGTAACTACTTTTTTCCTGCTTTGGGCTCACGAAGTTCCCTCCAGACAAAGACATGACTAACTCCCACCCCAGTCCATCAAGATCCCCTCGCAAGGATTTTGTGGAGCTGCAACTTTTAGACAAATCTCCTCGGTCCCTCTGAGGCAGAGGAAACACTAAGCCATTTCTAGAGAGAAATTCTGGTGGTCCAGGAGAACTCTGAGCCCCAAGAGACGATCTTAAACAGTCTTTTCGTTTCTCTACCCCAGGGGCGGCAGAGTCCCAAGAAGATGGGAAGTCATCCATGAAGGCCATAAGAACATGGCAGTTTCTGCCAGATGCTAGATTAAGGGGCAAGGGGGTGGCAGTGTGGTGGGGACCTGGGAATCATGAGTTTTGACTCCTGCTCTCAGCTTCATCGCTTCTAGGAATTACAGAAAAAATATAGAATATTCACTACAGTTTGAATTTCAGATAAACATGTAAATATGTTCCTTTCCAAACAGAAAAAAATAGGCCGGAAATGGTGGCTCATGCCTGTAATCCCAGCACTTTGGGAGGCTGAGGCAGGTGGGTCACCTGAGGTCAGGGGTTTGAGACCAGCCCGGCCAACATGATGAAACCCGTGTCTACTAAACATACAAAAAAAAAAAAAAAAATTAGCTGGGCATGGTGGCAGGCACCTGTAGTCCTCGCTGCTTGGGAGGCTGAGGCAGGAGAATTGCTTGAACCCAGGAGGTGGAGGTTGCAGTGAGCTGAGATGGCGCCATTGCACCCTAGCCTGGGCAAGAGCAAAACTCCATCTCAAAAAAATAAATGAATAAAATAAATCTAAAAATTAAAAAATAAAAAATAAATATGTCCTGCAACATTTGAGACATATTTATACTTTAAAAATTGTTGTTTGTGGGAAATTCAAATTTGGCTGCTGGGAATCATGAGTTTTGTCTTGTATGCTAAATCCATGTATTATTTTCCTGTTACTGTTACAATGAATTACTACAAACTTCATGGATTGAAACAACACATATATATTCTCTTGCAGTTCTCTAGGTCAAAAGTCTGAAGTCAAGGTGTTGGCAAGGCTGCATTCTTTGGGACATCAATTTCTTTCCACCTTTTTCAGTTTGTAGAGGCCACCTGCATTCCTTACTCATGGCCCCCTCCTTGAATCACCTCAACCTCCTGTTTCTGTTGTCACATCTAATACTGACTGATCCTCCTGCTTCCTGCTTCATATAAGGACTCTTGGGATTACATTGGGTGCTCCCAGATAATCCAGAATAATGGTACCATATCAAGATCCTTACATTAATTACATCTGTGAAATCTCTTTTAAAACGGAAGGTAAGGCCAGGCGCATACTTGTAATCCCAACACTTTAGGAGACTGAAGTGGGTGGATCACGTGAGGTCAGAAGTTCGAGACCAGCCTGGCCAACCTGGTGAAACACCATCTCTACTAAAAATACAAAAATTAGCTAGGCATGGTGGTAGACGCCTGTAATCCCAGCTGCTCGGGAGGCTGAGGCAGGAGAATGGCTTGAACCCAGGAAACAGAGGTTGCAGTGAGCTGAGATCATGCCACTGCACTCCAGCCTGGGTGACAGAACGAGACTCTGTTTCAAAACAAAAAACAAACCCAAAAACGTAAGGTAGGATATTCACAGGTTTCAGACATTAGCACGAGGACATCTTTTAGTGGTGCTGTGGAGGAATTATTCAGCCTACCATCTGGCATCCCTAATCCTGGCTGTGCCACCTTAGCCAAGTCACTCAAATTCCCGAAGCCTCCAGTTTTTTTTAATGGGCAAAAAGCTGATTAACTTACAACCATATAAATGAATTTACACCTTTTCTTACACCAGGTAAACAGGTATTTTTATTTATTTATGTATTTATTTTGAAAAGGAGTCTTGCTCTGTTGCCCAGGCTAGAGTGCAGTGGCACGATCTTGGCTCACTGCAACCTCCGCCTCCCAGGTTCAAGCAACTCTTCTGCCCCAGCTGAGTAGCTGGGATTGCAGGTGCCTGCCAGTACACCAGGCTAATTTTGTATTTTTAGTAGCAAAGGAATTTCACCATGTTGGCCAGGGTAGTCTTGAACTCCTGACCTCGTGACCTGCCAGCCTCAACCTCCCCAAGTGCTGGGATTACAGGCATGAGCCACTGCACCCAGCCAGGTATTTTTAATAGAGATGGGGTTTTGCCGTGTTGGCCAGGCTAGTCTTTTTTGGGGGGGTGGGGGTGGCAACAGAGTTTCATTCTTGTTGCCCATGCTGGAATGCAGTGGCCTGATCTCAGCTCACCACAACCTCCTCCTCCCGGGTTCAAGCGATTCTCTGCCTAAGCCTCCCGAGTAGCTGATACTACAGGCATGTGCCACCATGTCCTGCTAATTTTGTATTTTTGGTAGAGACGGGGTTTATCCATGTTGGTCAGGCTGGTCTCAAACTCCCGACCTCAGGTAATTTGCCTGCCTCGGCCTACCAAAGTGCTAGGATTACAGGTGTGAGCTACTGTGCCCCGCCAATAGCAGCTCTTGTGGCAAATGGTGAGGGTTGACCCTGTCCTAACCATGCTTTCCTAGGTATTGGAATAAGCCTCTTTCCTAAATCCCAAACCTAGAATCTACTACTGGTACATGGAGCCCAGATGGTAATCTGTTGTTCTATAGGATGTTTAATGTCATTCCTAGGCTTTACCCACTAGGTGGCAGTAGCACTCCACATTCACAGTGATGGAACCCAAAGATATCTTCGGTCATTGCCAAATACCACCTGGGAGACAAAGCTGCTCCAAATTAAGAACTACTATTGGTGGGAGAAAGAACGTTGGGTTCTGGTGAGACAGACCTGAGTTTAAATCCTGTGTCACTCACGAGCTGTGTGACATTGGAACAATTATCTGCCTCTCTAACTCTTGGTTTCATCAACCATAAAATCCTATACTAACTGCTACAAGGCGTTGAATGCTTTCATTGGTAGAGTGCTGAGCTCTTTGCATGGATAATCTCATTTTGATTGCCAATAACAGAATCCTGGGGCTGGGTGTGGTGGCTCACACCTGTAATCCCAGCACTTTGGGAGGCCGAGGCTGGTGGATCACTTGAAGCCAGGAGCTCGAGACCAGCCTGGCCAGCATGGTGAAACCCCCATCTCTCCTAAAAATACAAAAATTAGCCAGGTATGGTGGTGGGTGCCTGTAATCCCAACTACGCAGTAGGTTTAAGCAGGAGAATTGCTTGAACCCGGCAGGCGAAGGTTGCAGTGAGCCGAGATTGTGCCATTGCACTCCAGCCTGAGCAACAGAGTGAGACTCCACCTCAAAAAACAAACAAACAAAAATACCCTCTCAAAAAACCTTCAGAATCCTGTAAGGACACTGACTAGTGGAAGTAGGGAGGAAGATGAGGAGGGAGTGGTCTATATTAGGCATCTTCTCTGTACCTTGCATGAAAGCAGGTGACCTCACATACATTTCTGTGCTGTCACTGGCTGTGTGATCTTGGGCAAATCGGATTTTCCCCCGAGGCTCAGTTTTCTCATCTGTGAAAATAATACCAGCTGGGGAATTCTGGGAAGATGGAGGCAATAATGCCTAACAGATTTTAATCTCCCCAAATCCCCCCCACAAAAAATAGAAAAAAATTCATATACACATTTGCCACAAAACTAGATGACAAGGCATCTTCATGAACTCCAAAAAACAAGCGAGTGGGAACAAATCACCAACAGCTACAAGACCTGCATGCCATTGGCATCTCTGTGCAGTAGAAATAGAAGGGAAACGGCAAGGCGTCTGAGGGACCTGAGAAGTGGGGAGTGCTGAAATTGCAGCGTGGATTCACGTGTTGTTGGGAAAACAGTAGCTGAAACTGGAAAGCGTTTTGCCAACCACAGTAGTGGATGAGTGCAAGGTATTTGCCACACAACCTAAGGTTTAAAGGGGTTTTTAACCCTTATGAATTCTTTTTTTTTTTTTTTTTTGAGACGGAGTTTCGCTCTTGTTACCCAGGCTGGAGTGCAGTGGCGCGATCTCGGCTCACCACAACCTCCGCCTCCTGGGTTCAGGCAATTCTCCTGCCTCAGCCTCCTGAGTAGCTGGGACTACAGGCACGTGCCACCGTGCCCAGCTAATTTTTTGTATTTTTAGTAGAGACGGGGTTTCACCATGTTGACCAGGATTGTCTCGACCTCTTGACCTTGTGATCCACCCGCCTTGGCCTCCCAAAGTGCTGGGATTACAGGCGTGAGCTACCGCGCCCGGCCCTTATGAATTCTTGAGTCATTTTAACCAGTAATGATAGCATCTTCCCATTTTCCCAGCCTCTGTGTCCTTGCAAACAAAAGATTTCAAGTGTGGAAGAAAGGAACTACAGATGTAATACAGAAGAGGTTCCATAAACATCCTATAAAACTATTTGCATTGGATATATCAGTGTGAACTCGGGACTATTTTTAAAGGAAATTAATATGCATGCATTCTTATATATGA